AAGGATTCCAACATGTTATCTTGTTCCCCCAGGCACACTAGTTTACATGTTCCCTTAGCAGCTTGTTCCATATTTTTGGCCTATGTTCCTATTGCAAAATATCCCTTGTTTCCTGGAAACATTCACTTCTCAATACGTAACATTCTTGGTGAGAGCTGATATGGACGGACATTTTCGCGTTGGCGACACCATAGTAATTTTTTCCAATTCTTGGAGTTACAAAAGAGGTTTCGGAGTTGTAAATGGAATTAAAAATGCATTGATAATTCATGAAGCAAATTCAAGAGAAATGAATGTTTAAATTAACCAATATTTGTAAATCGCGGGTAAAAAAATTCGTCTTCATTTACATAAACGTTAGTTAATTAAAACGAACCATATATACTATTAGCAAAATAGTTGATAAACTTGATGACTTAGATTGCAAATCTTATAACAGATCGACTGCTTTTTATATTATCTACTGGAGATATATATTTTTATTTCCAATATAAGCAAAAGATCAAAACTGTAGTAGAGCTCATCAGGGATGATGCAATGTCGCAACGTAACTCGAGTAAGTTTATTGCTTGGGTCTGAACGCAGGCTGTACTGAGTTGATTACAAGTTTTCAATGTAATGTCACACAGTCTAGCCTGCCATATAAAACATATCGTGAGGCCGGTGTTATCCCCTATTGAAAAGATTCAAAGAATGTCAATATATATTCTTACCTGACAAATCTACGAAACTGAGCAAAGCACAAAAGATAAGACAAACTGTAGCAAACATCTTGTCTGAAAGTGGTTCACACACCCTTTTATTATGACAACTGTTTCAGGGAGCAAAACGTTTGAGACGGTTTATTCTCCCTTCAAACTACGCTAGAAACTTTGGGACATTTCAATGAAAAGTATTGATATATAAATTTTTCACACCCTCACTAATATATAAAGAACATGCCAAAGAAATTACGAAATTAAGCCTAACTTCTCAATTCTATTTATTTGCCTCCAAATGCAAGACTATATATAATTTTTAAAAAATGATCATAAACATCAATGTTTAGCCTCAGTTAAATTCCAGTTTGACTTCAGCAAACACCGCTAAATAACTTACTTTACCTCCAAAAAATAATTTATTATGTATTTACGACATCTGATTTTATATAGGAATTATTATTTAATTAAGTACCTTTAACTTTAAGTGTGTATGTCATGGTAATATTTCCAGCCCTGTTCGAAACTTGGCACTTGTACTTTCCAGTATCCTTTGGCCTCAATGAACTGAAGGTGATTACAAAGCTGCTGGGTGTCAACGGAGTTTGGTCATCAGGCATATGCTTGAGCTCCTGGCCATTCTTGTACCATATCACTGTTGGTTGTGGTACTCCACTGGCAGAACATACTATCTTTAGTTTGTGACTAGCAGGAAGTAGGAAATAGGGTTTCTTCATCTTTGATTTCTCCGTGAAATACGGTGCAATATCTAAAATACATGTCAAAAGAAAAAAAAAACAAAAAAAAAACGTCATGGTATAAAACACATTTAGCAACCACGATTTCAATATATTCTGCCCCTTCACATCGAATCTCAAGCGGATAAAGTTTTTGAACTGGCCTACAATGGCCTACACATGCGAATTGGTTTGCCTTCTGTTATCACTCGGATTTTTGCGCCCCTAACAACATTGTTCTTACCAATTACAAGGTCTTCTGTGACTGCCGTTTTCCAGCAACCTCTCTATAGCTTAACATTATCCTCAAATACAGTGTCAACATCTCCGATGTGAATAACTCTTTCACTCTCATTTGACTTATTTCTCTGATATTCTTTATTATTCTCTTAGCCCTGAGAGAACTTGTTTTATAGAAATATTCCTTCTACAATTCTTACCTTCAACCTCGCCTTCAACATTGAGGGTTATCGTTTGTTGTATTTTTCCACCTGCATTCATTGCCCAGCAAACGTAGTCCCCGGCGTCTGATCCATCCACGTTTTTTATCCTCAAATATCGGAATTTTTTGGGTCTATATTTCCTTGACTTTTTTATCTGATTGCCATTCCTTGTCCACCAGTACCTGGCGATTTTGGATGGATCAGTCACACGACATGGCAACCTAACTTGTGTACCAAATGCTGCAGTGACCTTTCTTTGAGAACTCGAGAAGATTGGTGGTGGCCGTGGTGCAGATGCTGAAAGATAAGAAAACTTCAATTTACAACACTGAGGGTCTCCCCAAACGGGCTGTGTTCTCTTGTTTCCCACAAGGATTTCAACATGTTATCTTGTTCCCCCAGGCACACTAGTTTACATGTTCCCTTAGCAGCTTGTTCCATATTTTTGGCCTATGTTCCTATTGCAAAATATCCCTTGTTTCCTGGAAACATTCACTTCTCAGTACGTAACATTCTTGGTGAGAGCTGATATGGACGGACATTTTCGCGTTGGCGACACCATAGTAATTTTTTCCAATTCTTGGAGTTACAAAAGAGGTTTTGGAGTTGTAAATGGAATTAAAAAGGCATTAATAATTCATGAAGCAAATTCAAGAGAACTGAATGTTTTTATTAACCAATATTTGTAAATCGCGGGTAAAAAAATTCGTCTTCATTTCTATATACTATTAGCAAAATAGTTGATAAACTTGATGACTTAGATTGCAAATCTTATAACAGATCGACTGCTTTTTATATTATCTACTGGAGGTAGATTTTTATTTCCAATATAAGCAAAAGATCAAAACTGTAGTAGAGCTCATCAGGGATGATGCAATGTCGCAACGTAACTCGAGTAAGTTTGTTGCTTGGGTCTGAACGCAGGCTGTACTGAGTTGATTACAAGTTGTCAATGTAATGTCACACTAGCCTGCCATATAAAACATACCGTGAGGCCGGTGTTATCCCCCATTGAAAAGATTCAAAGAATGACAATATATATTCTTACCTGACAAATCTACGAAACTGAGCAAAGCACAAAAGATAAGACAAACTGTAGCAAACATCTTGTCTGATATTTCTGACCTTGTCTAAAACAAAAACTATTATCACAAAACAGGTTTCGAATTGCAATGCACTTTTGGCATTGAGAGGGTCCTGATGTTTCTAGATCCTACTTCCCAGCCCACTTTCTTCCTAAATCCCATTTCCCAGCCATTCAGTTTTTCACACTAAATTCCAGATTCAACTGTCTTAATTATTAAAATAACTTTCCCAATAGCTCTCTTCAGAAATAACTGTACCGTCTGGACGAAGCAAAAGGTTTTGTCTATAAATACCTGTCATTTTGTGTTACTAGGTAAATCACTGACCCTCACTAGCATAATTAAAATGATCTGGAAAAGGGCAGAATGCAGTCTTCTAGGACATTTTTATAGCGGAACCGGACTATTTACGCACACGATTTCGAAACAGTCTGAAATTATAGACTGAAAATCTGAAATCTTGCAGGTTGAAATAAATTTTAAATAGAGTATATATTATTTATGTTTTACTGAAGAATGCAAACATTTGAGTACATGCATTTTCACCATTGTGAATCAAAAGTTAAAAACCCAAAGCCGTCGGAAGCAGGGGGGCGGGGGGGGGCTGGAGCCCCTCCCCAATAATTTCCAAAAAAACTAGAAAAGTGCAAAAGCAATTCAGATATATTCTTGAACCCCCCTCCCACAATATTGATTTACTTCCGACGGCCTTGAAACCTATGCAGCTTTCGCGTCCTTGTTGCATAAACTAATATACAACCACTCCCTTTGGCTCGTGTTGGTATAACTGTTGGTATTATGTGCAAGACTTTAAATGGCGGCTCATCATAAGGTTCAGTCCGCTCAGATCAAGATCGAGTTGGTAATAACGAGTTAACTTTGACATTTTCTATGAACGCCATGTCAATCCTTCCTCATATATTATCTGTGATACCAAAAAAACTGAAATAGCTAGTGTTCTCAGGATCCAGGCAGCCTCAATTAAGTCAATTTGTCAGAAAGAATTTAGAAATATCAGCTTGACTGCTTGAGCATAGAGATCCATACTATATTCGTATATTATGAAATTAAAGAGCACAGTTAGACAGTGTACTGCAAAATAATTCTAGATTGCAATGAATTAGTGCCTCACCTGATTTCGTCTAGATTTATTTGTAGAAACTCCAAGAAAGTATAGATAAAGTAATTCACAAAACAACGAGATTTCTAGCTCGGTTACTGTCCTATAAGTCACGTCTGACCTTAAGACGGCAAGTACCTTGGAAATCTGATTCCATTCTTCACTGCCCATGTTGATGGAAATGTTAAGATGTTTTTTAATTAAAAACCCACCTGACTATAATCTATTTATACACCGCCAAAGACCATGTCAAGTCCGTGCTAGGTATAAATCAGATATAAATATTGCCCAAATTTTGAATTGAAACGTACTCTAGTTTTATATTCATTTACAAAAGCGAACCAGAAAAGTGTTAGATATTCAGTTAGTATGTCTTATTTAGTTATTTTACAAATATAGCAGTTCAAAATGTAAACAAAGGTTTGTTTACATTACGGCGGACTTGACTTTCATTTCTGTTTTTTCCGTTACCGCATAGAGTAAGTTTAAAGAAGTTTTCTCGCAAAATTTTAGTGCGGTATATCTCAAATCCTGACGCACTTATACGATTTTCACAGCCGGTAAAGTCTGCGACGTACGTCATAGTCTTAACTAAGCATCGCGTGTATAGGTTATTCGACCATGCCTTCATCGCAATAACTTTGCTCCTGATGGTAAAAATAAATAAAATTGGGAATTTAATTTTCTTCGCCTATTAAAAGTGCATGGCAGCGTTTGGAAATAATAGCTTGTATCCTAAAAGCCATTTTCCACTTTAATCGTATTGTATCGTACCGAAGCGTATTTCTTTGTTTCCTGAGCACTGGAGCAAAACTAATGACTTCGACACAAAAGAAAATGCTACCTTACGATTCGATTGAAGTGGAAAACTGCCTTAACGAGTACGACCTCAGTTGTAACGACGTCAACAAACCATGATGAATCCAAGTGACTCTCAGATTGCTTTTCGTTTACGAAAGTTAAGGACAATATTCACTCGCTTCGATATGGATAAAGATGGATACATGTCGAAGGAAGATTTCGAACTTATGGCGAAGAAACTGAATGAATTGAGCAACGCCACCGGTGAACAAGCTGAATCACGTCGTAAAGCATTTATGCACTGCGCTGATATTTTCGGGTTTACACCAGGAGTGAAAACTCTCAGAGAAGAAGCAGTAAAGAATATGAATGAAGTCATGTTAAAATTATCTTTGGAAGAACAACGAGCAATGTCCGATAATATTCTCAACCCCATCTTTGATGCGATGGATTTAGACCAAAATGGCAACATTTCCTTGGACGAATACAAAACCTACACTCAGGTGCTTGCTCTTGATCTTTCGGATGAAGACAAAGTCAAATCATTCAATTTGATTGATGCCAATCAAGATGGTCAGATAAGTCGCGAAGAATTCCTCAAAGCAGCGTTTGAATATTTGTGTAAATTCGAAGAGAACGAATTCTCCAAAGTATTTTATGGACCATTAGTACCTTAAGTGCACGCCAATTAATATCAATATTTATCTTAATCTATTCATTGATGACGTAATTGCTCTTAGATAATTTATAAAGACGAGCTTGTGAATTATTGACAATGCTTTAATTTTAACATTTGTCGTTTTTTTTATGGAATAACATTAATTGAACTTAAATTACCCAATGAAAAACGAAAAGACAATCAATGTTTAACTGAAATCTAATTTTATTGGCCACGATTACAATAAGATTACATGACATTAGTTATCCAGCTTTTCAGGTGTACAATATCAGCATAGACACCATAATACCCTTTTCTGGCGCAGCCGATCCCCCAGCTCACAGCGCCCATCAGATGCCACCTTTTGTTCACGCGACACACCAAAGGTCCCCCACTGTCCCCTTGACAGGAATCGATTTTCCCAGTGTGGTACCCAGCACAGCGCATGCTCGTTGTAAGAGAACCGTAAACATAGCCGCATGCTTGCTTACTGACCAGAGGTACTTTAGCCTGCTGCAGGATTGCCGGGCTATAACCTTCTTCTTGTAAGGCACCCCAGCCTGTGATCCAGCAGTCCGTACCCGAGGGTAGGTCAGATGAAGGCAGGCAAACGGGCAAGGCTCGAGCGTTGTACTGGATAGGGGTTTTCAACTTCAGCAATGCTATGTCATTGTCCTGACTGTCTGCGTCATAGCTAGAGTGAATTACGAGCTTCTCGATTGAGATCACTTGTTCGTATTCACTCTTGTATCGCAAATCGTGTTCACCTAAAATCAGAGATTTATGATTTTAGGATATACAATTGTATTATGGCAGAAAATTTCGTAGGAAGACGCGGAGTAATTCTTACATCGGTAGTACCATGTTACTTGAACTGTCTTTGCCAGTGTTGGCAGTGTCAATCAAATCGGAACAGGCTTTCGTTGGTAGGGATACAACTACCTGAAAAATATATGAGGAGACTGATATCTAATATCGACGTGTCGAGCGAAGGTCCTAGTAACTCCAGACGAAGGGCCTTCTCTTCATTCTCTCGAAACGTCGATATTCTCCTTATACCGGGTGGCGCAAAAAAAAGTACAACTGTTTGATTACTTGTAACTCAGAAACAATAAGCAGTAGAACCATAAATCGAGTTTAGTTGCATCCAGCGATATCTAACTTAAATTTTGGTATATTTGACTGGCATATTCGTCCAAGATTAACTGAGATATAAGAGTTTAAACTTTTGTTAACAATTTTGAAACGGTCACAAATTAGCTAAAAATCAGTTTAATAGGCCGTTTTTAGTTAATTTGTGACCGTTTCAAATTTGCTAACAAAAGTTTAAACACTCATATCTCGACGAAAATGCCTGTCGAATATACCAAAATTTAAGTTAGACATCGCTGGATGCAATGAAACTCGATTTTGGGTTCTACTGCTTATGGTCTTTGAGCTATATGTAATCAAACAGTTATACTTTTTTTTGCGCCACCCGGTATATTTTCAGGTAGTTGCATCTCTACCAACGAAAGCTTATTCAGGCTATGTTTCGCCTTCAACACTTTTATATACCATAGCAGGAAACCTCATCATGCAAGCTCGCGGATTTGCGGGCTCTATATAGGAAATTACAGGCTCTACTATATAGAGTATAATCTATATACATGGTATATTATAGAGGTATAATCTATATATATGAACAATGCTTTTCATTGAGCGCTTGCGGCGCGCGACAAATGACAGAGGAGAATGGGGCGAGCTTAATATAAATTGACATTTTGAAGCATTTGGTGCATTCTACACGCCGTTTTGGGATGCCTATGGTAGAAATATATTTGATCGCAACGTAGGACATTTTAAAGTCACTTATCGTAGCAGGAAACCTCACAATGCAAGCTCTCTATCGCGGATTTGCAGGCCCTATTCTTGGTTTCCAATTGATGTCATGGCGGCCATGTTGGAGTAAAGCTAACAAAAGAATCTCATTAAAAGCTATTGAATTTGGAGCGTGTTTTCCTGCCATGGCCGCCATGTCTTTGTCTTGTAAATATCATGATTGCAAACCACCAATACATAGGAATTTATAGACTCTACTATATAGAGTGTAGGCTAGAGAATAGACCGCATTCTGTGGTCGTTTGATAACTTAGATACATACCAACAGTGATCTTGTAGTTATTTACATTCCTGTCGTCATGGAAACAATGCGCAGCACTAACGATCCATTGATTATCAATTATGGACCCGCCGCACCCCAATGACCTCCTCTGTAAAACACACTAACTTGCCAAGGCCACTGCCCAGGGAGCGCATTGCTCCCGCCAACAATTCGAGACGATGCCGTCATGGTTAAGCCACAGGCATTTTCCGCTATAAATTAACGTATTACAGAAATTAGTAACTTGTGGAACTAATTGAATTTACATGTACAAAATAGAAGCGCCTGGAAATCTATATCCCTCCTCTAATATATTATTTATGCCCAGCCTCAGCCCATGCAATGACAACGTTAACATGCAGAAACATAGCCAGATTTCCCACAGTAGGTTAATTAAACTATATGTTGGAAGGGCCACACTTTGCTCTGCCTTGGTTCGACAATGGTTTGTGAAATTATGAACACCCTTAAACTATATCCCTTACGACGTATGCAAAAATATTTAATTGTCTGATAGTCAATAAGGAAAATTTATTTCCTACAATAATCAATATACCACTTTTAGACTTTTCATGCAGGGAAAGTAGTATGTACTCTTAAACATGGACAAAAAATTATCCGAAGTTATAATATGCAGCCTACTGTTTTCAAGACTACCATTTAGTTTCCTGTTGTAATTCAAACCAAACGGAAATGTTAAAGACCTATTATTATTCGCCTTCCTGAATTTAAAATATTTACCTAAATCATGAGAAATTAGTTACAGTACCTAAGAAAGTCTTCACTAGACCAGAACTTCTACTTATCCATGTATTACAATCAAACACACTTCCTGCACTTTCACCATCATATTTTACCTCAACCTGTGTAAAACAGTCCAGAAATGTTAGAGTATGTACAGTAGAAAACTTCATCATGAAAAACCAGGTGATTTGAATTGCAATAAAGGAAAAGGAGATATACTTCTTTCAAGTACCATCCAGCGCCAAAAAATCCAGAATTGTCATGTTGTACTCTAATTCTGGTCACCGGTCCAACATCGGGAATGTCAACAACGAATACGTCAACACTGAAATATACAAATGTCAGACCATGCACTTTGAGATAAGAAAACATTTTCAATTGTCATGCATATTTTTCAAATTATCTGCAAAAATAAGAATATGAATAAAATAAGCGCAGTTTGCAGGTTATTCATTACTCCTGCATGGTATATTCACATTAACATTTATCAAGAAAACAGCATTGTCTAAGTGCAGTGGATTCATAATAGATAAGAATACAAAATGACAACTGTGTATTGCATTTATGAGTGTGATGTAAAATAGTTTAACGTCTTTTCGGACGTATCTTCGTTTATATCTGTCGCACTAATAGTAAGTTGAAAAGATTGCTGAAGTGTTCTTAACAGTCAAAATCAAGTCATGATTCAATCCATAACAAATAGCATTCACAACATTAAAAAAATCGACATTACATGCAGTCTAATGTCTTCATCATCAGGGGTGCATGATTTCCTTATACACGCTCGAATGATGATGTCATTCAAAAGAAGATAGCTACCGTCATCCCTATTTAAAGCATGATACTCGTTTATGCATCACGTTTCCAAGCAAGTAGCCACTTTGCGACTTTACATTACCCCAGATGAAAATACTAGACTGGAGAGTCAAAAACTTGCGTCGTAAATAACTCACTGCTCTCCGGCCAACGAAAACATGACTGATATTATATACCAGCTGCCGTGAACTTACAAACTTCAAATTTAGATCGAAATTTTACTTACTCGCCCTTTTCAAAGATATCTTTATCTGAACTGAGAGGTATCAACGACGAACTGCCAGAGTAGCCATAAAGAGTTATAAAAACATTTGCATCTGTTCCTGCATAACTGTTTGTGCCAGTTTCAACAGAGATTTTGTATTTTATTGCTAAAATACATCACAAATAGTTATCGTTAATTAGTATTATAAATTGTTCAAAAATCATTTTATTACTAATTACTATTAAAGTTAAAGATAAGATAAGATAACATAGTATGGTAAGTAAATTTTAACCTATAATATATGTTTTGATAACATTGAGGGAGTTCGAATAGGATTCGCATAATAAAGAATTTTCATTTATCCAATGCAAGGCGTGATTACATGCCAAAAATTTCAAATAATTTATATAGAGATTTGGGTGATTCGTTTTCAGACTTTTGCTATATTTGGACTCCTATATGTTTTCAGATTGTCTATGAATTTTTACCGCCTCTTGGATGTTTATTAAATTAAAGACGTGCTGTCTGGTTTTAGGTCAGTTACCATGACTTGTAGCTATACGTCCTTTAAATTCATGGAAAATTTATAGTTTTCTAACTATGTAATAGGGCCTATGGCCACACTGGTAAAAGTCTGCATGCAACCAAAAAACTCGCCACAAAACTTACCATTGCTTAATGCTACGACAACTAAAAAGCAAAACCAAGTCAACGAATACATGTTGATGCTAACTTCGAAGTAAGAACATGGGAAATGAGCCAGGTAAAAGCTCGCGAGCTTTCTAAAGGCCCGACAACTGACGTGCATACAATTACAGAAGCATTGATTGTATTCTGTATATTGAATCAGGTTAATACGGTCATTTTAAAAGACAAAGCGAGCGATAAGCACCTGTATATACAGCAATTAAGTTTAGCAGTATACTAGAATTCGATTTCATCCGATTTCGAAGTTGAATTCAATTTAAAACATTTTTGCAGCCTGCATGCATGCTGGTGATCATTATAGTGAAACCACGCCTTTCGATCGCCACGATCCCCACCTATTTAGCTGCAAAACGCTAAAGCAATCCCCATAGGTTAATATCATACAGTATATAGATTAATATAAATAGCTTAATTAATACTTTTCAAGAATACTGAATTTGTATGTATGTGCTCTTTGATATAAAAGAATAGCAATATAATGTCTATAATTTAATCTGTTCTATATCATTTTCTGGCTTTGCGTCTGCGACTCATTCGACCATAACTCGTCTTAAATCAAACTGACTTTAATTTTTTTCAGTTGTGAAACTAAATCTTTGCTTTTCGATTCGACTGATGGACTTGTTTGACAACTGATAAATTTTTACTTCGTGCGAGTTGATACGGCACCCTTCAAATAACTAATTTTAATGCAATTTCTAGATTTTCAAAGAATTATTAGCCAAAATTGACAAACTAATCATGACAAGAATCCGTAAGGACGGCATAGTTGATCCCAATGGCTATTGATTTAACATGATGAGTGCAAACAACATTTCGGGATGTTAAAACCTGATTTAAACTTTGTTTAAAAATATAATTATCATACTGTTTGTACATATAAAATTTTAATTAAGAAGCATATAAACGAATATGTATGACTTTTAGTCAGTGGCGTTTAAATTGCTCTTATGTTGTGGGACAAAGTAAACATTTCCAAGGGAGCACAGGAACTCAGCCTCCCCCCCTGGAAGACCCTCCGAAATATATTAACAAACTATAAGCAAGGCTTATAATCTGGAAGAGGAAAATAAATGACGGTAAGAATAACTCTGGAACGCTTCAGATTTCAGAACTTTAAGACGCAGATCCATTATAGCCATACGACATGAAGTACTCTCTCAAAAACCAATATGGCGGCTGAAGATGAAAATAAGCGTACAAAGGAAAGATGCAAACGTTTTACAGAAAGAGTGAACGTGAACATCACAGAGGCAGCGAAATTAGCTCAACACATGATAAGAGCATCTGGATCCCCCGATGTATGTTGAAATATCAGCGTAATGTATCTGTAATATGCGATATATTATAATACAAAATTCTAAATATATATAATTCTGAATATATAAAGCTGGCTTTTGCACATTTTATCAAATCTGTTTGACATTTTTGCTGTGTGTGATCACTGGACACTGAATTCATAGAAATACTGATGAATAAATAAAAGTAAAAAGGCGTTCGTAAAATACTGAAATGGTATTGCATGAAAATGCCAACTATTTGATTCATAGAACACTAATAAATCATGTCGGAGTTGAATGGCCTAGCTGCGTTGCAGCCTGGCTAATTTAGATCCAAAGGACATCAAACAATTTACAAGACGCCCGGATTTGAAATAATCAAATACCTGAAAATTGCCTTACGACGTGAAACTGAACTCCAAGTATCGATATTTCATCAGACATTTCGCCACAAGAATATATATTTGCACCTTAATTTAATCAATGTTTGAATGTCCCAACGTTTTGTACCATCTAATGGCAATGTTTTGTTTTATAGATATTATCACAAACCACCAAGAAATTTGTTCACAACGAGAACTCTATTAAATCAACTGAAGAGGTAGATTGAGTCGTATTAATTAGAATAATTTTGAATAATGTATATTTGGACAATGTATACGTATTGATCTATATTAAATTGATTTCCAATTTATTTTAAACGTATACTTGGAATTAGAATATCAAGAAAATGAAGAATTTAATTGGACAAATGGATGCACAGTGAGTATTTCGCGTTAAAACATAGCTCAGCCACAATTTGCAATGCGTTTTTAAATCCTAAGGGCTAAAGAATAATCATTTTTAAATAACTATATAGGGGGTTCAATTCAAAATTCCCAAGTGGCTTTAGTTTATTTACACCTATGCACTCTTCCCATCAACCCCTTCGCCCTTCTCTCACCACTACAATACTTCATGTAAACTCGCCATATGCGCATCGCTGTGTTTTTCACAAAGAGACGCCTGGGTACGAGGCAGCCTATACGCTGTAAATGTTGAAATCAATAAAGTGAATAAACGAAAAAAACATTACAATACGTCAAAGGAAACAAACTTAATTAAGTGTCAGCAAAAATATAAAATTTATACCTTCAATAGAGCAGTTTAATTTAAGACAAGCCTCAAAGCGGTTGTATCTCCCCCTAGTGTCCACCACAGTATATTTCGCAATCAAGTGACAGAGCATTAACCTGACGTTATTTTTATTCACAGGTATGACGAAATTCATCAACGGTACGTTGCTGAAGCTGTAAAGCTACAAAAGCACCTAATTTTCAGAAGTGATCTAATGAAGAATGTTCTATCACCGTAGATGTCAAGATTGTCCTATACCTTCTTGTTTTTAGGTTAGATTTGATTGCAAAAATTGACCACCAAATGCACCCCACGACGACGAAATAAAGACTAATATATTAAATAATAATAGAGTATTTTTGTAAATTAAAGTTGTACAAATTTCATAATAAAACATTCATCACAGAATATATAGTCCTGCTCTTCTGGTATAGGAAAAGTTGAAATTCACGACAACTATAGTAGGCAGCATCATTCTGTTATTATAGTTATGGTTCACAATGGCGTTTCCCACACATATCAAAATTGAGCTAAATACTTCCAGTTTCTTTTGAAACCTCTTGAAAATATCCCCTCGCATTAAAAACATCTACAAAATATAGAAATGACATGACATTGTCCACGAATTAAACATTCAACAACATTAATTTTTCAATTATTTATTCATTTGTCTGAATGCATTTCACGTATAGTATATTAAATACGATTTACACAATACTCTGTTATATATACATCTATACACAAGCAACTTGCAATCTGTACAAAAATTGTATCACTGTCAATTGATTTCTATGCATAGTTATAGTCATGTATGTACACAACCCATTTTTAGCCCAATTACAGAGTATTTATATCACTTTCAAAAATGAAACGCAGTTTATTTTATTAAGTTGTACAAAATTTCGGCACAGGAATTGATGCTTTACGCAAATAGTTGAAAATGAAATTGACAGTGATTTTAGTTGTAAGCTATAAACGGTGCAAACAAACTGAAAACAAACTTGAAGCAGTTAAGACATGCATGAGCCATCATGGGATATTAAATAACAATTTTAAGAGAACTTGTAGAGATCGCCAGTTACACGCACTCCATACTCTTGTTACAATATTGAACTCACCACTCAAACTTCTGAACATTACACTCAAAGTCAAAAACTACGTAAAATATCAGATATGCTTATTGCTATTCCGATTGCTTCGGAGGTATGACACTTATATGTTTATTGATCTTACAAACCCGGAACGCCAACCTTGGAATCCTCATATGGATAGAATTTTTTACAGTTTTCAATGTTTGATTTTAAAAGAAATTACAGTTTCTTCTCGTGTTTAAAAAGATCGAGAACAAGTAAAATCGCTAATCAAAGACTTGGAACCGGAGCAGCAATAAACATGTCTGATCGCACGTCAAGTCTATGTATATATATTCGTTATAAATAATTTAAATTCTTATTATTGTATTTCTAATCCACACACTTCATACAATGGACTCTCGTGAGCGTTGAGGGCTTGTGTTTCTCGGAGAAGCGTCCAGAGAGGTTTTACTCTCCCAGTTTCGTCTTTCAGCTTCACGATCCATCTTTGATCCAGGTTGTACCCCAGGCGTTGATTCAGTTCTTCGAGGTAACGAATGGTGGGCACTCCCTTGATAATCAAGTGAAGTTTCCCGAGGGCACGTTCTGCACAAAGTAGTCTGCAGCGATGTCCGCGAATTTGCTAGATACATTTCGCTAGAACCCGATGGAACCCGTTTCGAATCGCTTTGGGTCCCAAAAGAATGCTGGGAGCTCTGTAACGATACGCGCGCTTCCTTGAAGGCTCTTATAGGTTCCGTGTTGCTTCCATTCGTTTTTAAAACGGAGTCATCGTGATCAAATGTTTGCTTTTCTTGGTAAACGCTGATCTGCTGCTGAGCGTATGGTTGAAATACATCCTGTAGCTGGTATTCTTTTACATACTGCTTTTCCATATTTTTCCGTTGTTTTCGACAGCACATGATCAAAACCACAATAAATATCATAGCAGCGATAATTGATGCCGCCAGCACGGCGACAAGCACAACGGAAATTTCTCTTTCCGTAGTATGAACTTTCCGTGTTGTAGGGTCTGCGAAAGTTGATTTTGGTGTCGTGAGTAATTCTTGGTCTAAATTGTAGCATTGAAACGTTAGAAGTAGAACAACACAATATATACACTTTATGTCGGTCTAACTTTGTCCTACAAGTTACAAAGTGATATACAAATTGTTGTAAAAATAAATAGTTTAGGCTATAAGTGCGTAAAATGAGTCTCATTTACAATATCTTTTCACAAGAGCGAATAGCGCTATTTTTCTCAAACTTCTTAAAATTGACCGTTGATTGGTATAACCTAGATTAAACTTTAATATTTATAAACTGTTCATATGATCCCGCATATACCGGGACGTCCCGCTTAATACCGATGATATCGCGGCCTAGTTACTTTCCTATAAAATTTTGCATTGTGTTCATATGAGGAAGCGGCTCGCTTGCCGAGATCTCGGTTGAATTTGCCGAGATCATAGGAAGCGGGGTGAAAAATTTCCCATATGAATACGACAGCTCGCTCACCGGGATGAAGTCAAACAAGTCTTGCCGTTTAATTGAACACTTTTTACTTAGTTTTGTGTTTGTTTTGTAAACAAGTATTAAATATGCTGCTAAAGCAATGCCAATGCCTTTTCTTGTAAATAAATGAAGAAAAACACTAAAATCGCTAAATATTTTTGTTGCATGACTGAAGTTTGGCACGCGCTAATTATAGAACTACACAACCTCGTTCCCAGGGCTTCAGTGTGAGGACGAGGCGAGACACGAGGAAGCCCTGGTCCAGGCCGGTCACGTGACGTCAAAAAATGGCAGTATTTGACAGCTACTCGTCAAGGAGTGGCGAGATATCTTTGATGAAATATACAAATCTTCGAAACGAATAAATAGCCAAAAGACTTCTCAATTGATATTATTTATGTGTAGAGCGAAGTTTGGCACGAATCAGCTAAAATCTATGAAGATCCCGTCCATGTTTTCAAAGATATACCGATATTTCATTATTTCTGGAGATTTTCAACTACATGCAGGCAAAGTGCATCCAAGCTGCATCTAGGTGTCTCCATGCAAGTGGTGATTCACACGAAATTTCCTTTCTCTCGTCTTGAAGAATATGGCTATTGCTATAATTAATATTTAGTTTAAATATGCTCTTATAGATCCGACTTAGTTCAATATAAATAAACACAAATATAAACCTCGCGTAACCTGTTTACGCCATACAGGAGTATACGGATTCGCTTGTTTCGTCGGACACCAACACTTACCGTTCAGGAGCAATGCTAGCCTACAAATTTTATCCCCTTCACAATCTTTGTTTTATTTTTATCGTATCGTCGCAATTTTCAAGTATTCGGGGTATTCTGAAACTGAAAATCTGGGTGGCGTGCGAATCTTGTAAAGACTACATTGGCCTAGGCGTAGAGCTATTAAGTAAACAGGGCCTAAATTAATTTCGTAGCTTCATTTAATTGTTTGTCTTGCTTTTATTTGTCAGTATAGAATATTGTAAATTAAAATATTACTACAATGCAATACGCGTAGTATTTCATCAGACATCTGCACTAATAAATACTGTACGAGGAAAACTACAGTACAGCTTAAATAATAGTAGACGTTTCTTGTTTTGTCAGGAAACATCACAGCTCACTTCGACACGGCTTTTGAATTTTGTAACCGGCCGAGGCGAAAATAAATCATGCAGTCGGGAAAACGTCTTACTTTGAACGATTATTTTGCAAAACATACTCGTACACACAAGAATCATAAAAATACAAATGTTGAATTGTTATTGTCAACTGTCAAGTTCAGTTATTTTTAGACAATATGGCGTTAGCCAATCAGAATGCAAAATTGACCGGCCCGGACCAGGGCTTCCTCGTGTCTCGCCTCGTCCTCACACTGAAGCCCTGGGAACGAGGTTGAGAACTACATTGTAATTTCACCTCGGCAAGAGATGGAAAACTCCATATGAACGCACGGAAATATTCGTCCCGCTAGGCGAGACGTCTCGGTAAGTGGGATCATATGAACAGCCCCTTGCGAGGTCCATATCCTTAGTTACTCAACTTTTCATGCATTTTTAGAAAGGTTGAAAAAATCACCATCCGGTGTAGCGTTATTCGGCCTTCGTACAACCAGACGCCGAAAAGAAACCTTATAATAAATTAAAAAAAAACCGTTTTGTTAAATCAACTGTTCTCACCTGCTTTTCCTCTCACACGTAAATAAAAATACATTTCGTCACTACCGTGACTGTTCTTGACCATACAAGTGTATTTTCCTTCGTCCTGTTTCTTCACATTTCTTATTACCAAAAACCCATCAAAATAAAACCGATTCATACTGACTACTTGCGTCTTCGTATAATTTCCAATGTATTTCGAACCAAATTGATTCGAGGTTTTCAAATCAATTGAGCTGTTCCGCTTTTTTCCTGACCATTTCCAATTGAAGACCACCTGCCCCACACTGGTCACTTTACAATCGAATTTCACCGTGCGACCTTGACTTGCCGTACGCTTAACCACCACAGGCTCTTCTATGATTGGCTTCAGAGATCGGGCTAAAAGAAAGAAGAGGAAAATTTACCAAGGCCAAAAAAAATATATGTGGGTTTCCGGTTTCCCGACCCTACCTAGCTTTTGGACGTCGAAATCCCGACCCTAAACTTTTTTGTTGGATCATGCTTGTAAGTGTTTCCACTTAGAGGAAAAAGTTTGTGAAAAATTGAAATTTGAGGCAATATTAGGGAAATCTATCTTTGGATGTGGAAGCACTGACTAAACAAAATGGCGTCCGCTTATTCGGGAAATTAAAAAAACAAGTTTAAGAAAAAAAGTTAAAACCGACCTACCCTACCTAAGTTTTTATAAGAAGAAACCGGAAACCCACATATTTTTTTTTGGCCCAAAGGGTTTTCAGTGCATCGCACGGACTGATTTTCAGAAAGATTGAAATTTCAGTCTTCTAGTGGATAATAGAAAGGAAATACATGCAAATGAATTGTAAAAGGAAAAAAATGCATGCCTAGCCTCTTCAGCCCGTTTGCAGACCAGAGTATATCAGTAGAATAAAAAAGTTTGGAAATTCGGTAGAAATACAATCATAGAAACATATCAATGTTTTCGTTTTGGTTTATGCAAAGAACGTTCGATTCGTTATCACATGTCGATTGCATGCATTTTCTCCCAACCAACCAACAAATGAATAGGAACGTTCTATTTAATTTAATACACATCATCTGCTGTACTCACACAATTGTTAATTTAAAATACTGCTATAGGAAAAAGAACGTTCGACGTTCTTACTCCGTATACGGCTAATTAAAAAAAAACGTCCTTTGCAAACCTTAAAACTCTAAACCTTAAAATCTAAGCGCGCAAAGCTTAATGGAAGCACAAGTTTCAAGCTTATACACCCTTTTCATAAATGGCTGCCGATTAAAAATTCTTTTATGTGCATATAAATTGGCCCAACTAGCCTCGTACTCATGTTAAGATTTCAAAGGAATTTCTACCCAGAAGCGAGGCTAGTTGGGCCAATTTATATGCACATAAAAGAATTTTTAATCGGCAGCCATTTATGAAAAGGGTGTATAATGGTTAAATATTGCAGCTATTTGTGATTGAATTGTTCTCGTAATTAGATATTCACCATGTCTCTAAGAAATGGGCCCCATATATGATATCTAAACTGATTAAATGATGCTCCCTTTGTGCTTTGCGCGCTTAGAGTTTAAGGTTTGCAAAGGACAACGTAATTATATAGAGCTCACTGGTCACGATTTGGTGATCAATCACGATTTAGTGATCAATGATCATTGTCTTTTCAATGTTTCGGAAAACCCGCTGTTCTCCATGCCATCCTTGTAACCTATTATTTTGATTTCTATTAGCATTTATAGCGCTACATAGTACTATCGTATCAGCATGAACATACCTTTGACAATCACCCTAAATGTTCTATTTATACTGCCAACGTTATTGCTAACGCGACATGTATAATTTCCAGTTTGTGAAACAGTCAAGTATCTCAAATTCAGAGTCCACCCGTCTGCTTCGACACTTGTCCTAATCTTTTGTCCGTATGCTTTGCCATCCTTAAACCATCCAACTTTAGGATCTGGTTTTCCTGTGCTGTGGCACTGCAATTTTGCCGTTTCACCCGTTTTATACGTTTTCCTCGTCTTGGGAAATAGCTTAAATTTTGGAGGCTTCCCTGAATGAAGATTAGCACACAGTCAATGTGGAGTTTAAATGTTTCTAGTGCACAAAAAAAGTATTACAAATTACTGTTTTGTACAACATTATCTTCGATTTATCTTTTGCTTTACAGTTTTAAAAAGCTTCTACAGAACATGAAAGATTCAAATTCCTGTACTATTAATTTGTGGAAACATCTTGTATTATTACTTGTATTAAGAAAATTAAGCAAAGTCTAGAAAATAATATGTTTTAGCTCACCTCTTCCGGGTTTCTTAGTAGCTAGAAAAACAAAAAATCAATACAATGTTAGACAATGAAGCAATAAAAGTATTAAAAACTCATTAGCAATTCATAAAGAAAAACAAAAAGAAATCAATGTTTAATCCACTAGCACTAGGAGAATAGAAGCATCTTGACCACTCAAGACTCCGGAGTAGTCGACTGCTTTCTTGCAGTTCATGCATTACTCGAATCTAGAGAGCACAATATGCTTGTATTTGGGGTATGTTTTGTTTGAGGTTGTCATCTGGAAATTGATTGTTAATATAGGGAAATGGGAAAATTGCAAGAACTGAACGCGGTAACCCCATCATGTCGACTGCAGCATACGAAAACAAAATTTTGAGGTTTGAGCCAGATATTGATGTGGACATCATTCATTTTAAATATGGAAAATGTTACCCATCTACAGTACTTATTCAGATATTTTTTCGATCATGCAGCTCACAGCCTATATCTCATAGATATCTTATATACACTAGATAGCGCAACTCTTTTAGTAAAATTGAACTATTGAAGCCAAGAATATTCCAGAGGTTACCCCCATTTGAATAGATGGCGGCCATGTTGGTAATTCCCACTCGCTAATAAACACTTAAAAAACAACAATAACTTTCATCATTTGAATAGTTTAAAAATGTATTTGGAATAGGTCTAACTTAATGTTTAAGCTCCCTGTTTAAGAAATAGAATCTTCTCATTTCATGGGAATATCCTGAGTCTGCAATCACGGCTTCAATTTTTGAATTACATTTACAGAATAATTAGATGCACTATCTAGTATATATCGAGGTATATATAAGATATTTATGCTATATCTTCACTCTAAAACAAGATTGGCTAATTTAACAAAACCACCAATAAGTCTCTTCACTTTAACTTTAAATTTGTCGAAAAATTGAATTGAATGACCAATATACCTAGTGCAAAGAACTACAGAATAGTTAAAAATTGCACGTACGTTTAACTTTCAATTCAATAATCAATTCAATCCTTCCATATTGGTTCATCGCAGTGCATTTATACATTCCAGCATCTTTTTCCTTAACGCTGACAATTTTAAGATGTTTCTCCTTCATTATCAAAAATCGTAATGTATCTCCATGAGTTTTCTGAATAAGGTTCCCATCCTTAAACCAGGCGACCAACGTCCTGTTGTGTTCAGGGCCATTCGTGCCAGAAACTGGACACTTTAATTTGACCGAGCTTCCCAAGTACGCGGTGTAATTTTTCTGTGGTTCGTATCTGAACTTTGGTTTACCTAAAAAATAAAATTAATACTAGCAATTTAAATAACGAAGTTTAAAATTCAGCAAGTATTGCTTATATTGCTGTGAATATGGCTTAAATCATTAATAGTTATATTTTCATAGTTTTATTGGCAAAAAGGCGATTTTGATGCAAATACCGAAAACACCTTAATTTTCCGATCTTGCAAAACGACTAGTTTTGATAACAGCGAAGGCAAAGCATGAAAGGATAGGGAAGTGATGGGACTCTGGATTTGAAACGGTTAAGAAATTTTGAGCATATGAGGCAGGATTTAATACAAGGGCCAAGGCGCCTTTGTGTAAGCACTAAAATAAGTCTGGATGACATGGGATTCTCATCACAATGGAATGTTCCGATCACTAAATCATTTTTTACATATTTCAAGTTTACAAGTATCACCAATAGTGTGTTTTCTATTTCTACCGAAGTGACGCTCATGATCGTCTCCAAATTCAATTTTTAACTCAGTACGACTCCATAAACCATAATACATCGCGCTATGTCATGTCACATTTAGGGAATTGCTGCCAATTATGGAGCATTGCTGGTGGCCTTGAGTATATATAGTCTTAACTCTCAAGGATAAATTTCATAATTTTTATATCAATTATATGGTGGTATTTCATCGCAAATATAACGAATATCTAACAGCCGGTATATGTAATTCAACACTTGATATGTTACGCAATGATTAACTGAGATGTCACATCACCAACTAAAATTAGGCGCATGATTTTTCTCACAATACTTATATGATTAAAATATAAAATGCAAGTCACCTCTTGACACCAGAATAACACTTGCTCAGGTCACACCGAAATTTGTTATAATGCGGAGAAATCCCACCATGTTTGGCATGTTGTAAACAGCTAAGGATTTTCAAAATGGCAGTATTTAGAAATATACTTTGCCTGATTAAGAATGTTAATTAAACAATCAGTGTTAATTAAAAAATTGTCAATTAAATAAACTCCCTAATTAGAATGCTAATTAGACAAGAGCATTCTAATTAAAGACTACTATTTACATGCACCCTATTAAACTTTAAATTAAATATCTTCACGTATTATTAAGGGTCTCAATACAATATTAAAATGTAATTGATTTCCTAAAAAAACAACTTTTTGAATGCAGAGGAATTCAACTTTTCCCTAACAAAATCACAGATTTTTCCTGTTTTATGTACAAGGTAGAAGTTTAAAGTAGCAGATAGTCACACGTATATCTTGTACGTCAACATGAAAGACCCGCCGTTGAAAAGCCCTTTACCAAAGGCCAATAGTTCAAGGACTATATAACACGGTGAATTAACGAGCAGGAAAGATCGGAATTTAATGAGTAAGGTAAAAACAAAATATCGTATGACTCATTGCGAGGTCGAGAAATACTCTATATATTGTATGTACGGAAGTACGTAGTCACACACAAGTCAAATTCGAGAAATATTCTCGCTAGGAGAGCGAGTAATCATGTTTTGTCTACGAAAGGAGACGTTACAAATATAGGTTGTCATGATTAATTTTTTTCAGGGAAACGACTTCCTCGACGACTTCAATGCAAAAAGTCTTGCCAGGAGAGGGAATGATCACGCTTTGTCTAGAATATTTAATTTAAATAGAATATAGGTGATGATGATGCATTTATTCCAGGAAATCGATTTCAAAATATTTTTGTTAGACGATCATGTCCGAAATTAAATGACTTTCCATTTCAATGTACAAATCTCGCTAGGAGAGCGAGAATGTTTTGTCTAAACGAAGAGTTATAGGTGGTGATGATTAATTTGTTTCAGGAAACCAATTTTAAATATTCATATCCGTAATTAAAGGACTTTTATTTCAATATGGCTGTTTAGCAATTTTAAAAAGACTACTTCATCGTTGGAATATATCATTGCCTCCTAAAAAATCTCCTCCCTTCAGTCCAACAGAAAGACGAAGATATTTTTGAATATTCCAGATTGTTTTCCACCTAAAAGACTGAAGCTAGTCCTCATGCATGTCGTTAAAAATTCAGTCAAGTAGATACTAGGTAGGAATTACCATCATTATGATGCGATTTATTATTTATATGCTTTTTTCACTAAGTATTTTGTTTTTTTAGTGTATCAAAAAGTACAGATTCATCATAATTTGTCGATATTTCTTCGTATTTTTGCTGTCATTGTGCTGTAATGCATGGCACGTGCAACAGTGTGTGGAAACAACTTGTATGCTGCAACAATACCACCTGTATACATACTAATGAGAATAAAGATTTAAAGAAACCGTTGTGACAACTTTTATGTCTATGCACTAGATTAAAACGTAGTGACATTGAAATCTCAAAGCCTTTAGTGAAAGGAGCCCTGTATAAGATAGAGAGAAATTCCCGAGCACGAGACCAACCATAACCTAAATTGGATCATATTGTGACCTCGATTCACGCTATATCTAGGAACTGCTTTTATAGAAAATATCATAAATGTAGTCAATGAATCAGTTCATGTCCTGTATTTGAAGGTGCTATAATAGGCATGCAGTAGCTCAGTTGGTACGCAACAATATAGTAGTAAATGTTTAAATTCAATAAAAAGAAATCGCAGAATTTCAAATTGGCTTATGGTGCTATAACAATGTACAGTAAATTAATGTATAAATTTGATATGATGACCTTGCATAAACAATTTTAACTGTGGTGCCAGTAAGACTACCCCCTTTCACACGTAGCCCATTATGAGATTTTGACGCATTATGGGTGGTATTGTAAAAGATCTTAGACAAGCTTGCCGCGCATGCTTATGTTTGTACAAACATACAGGTTTTACCTGATTGCATTGAAGTAAAATGGTTCATGGACATTTTAAAAAAAAATGTAACTCACTCTAATTTTTAAATACAAATATTCCTATTTGCTGACAGGGCATTTGTTAAGAAATTGCAACCACTACGAAAAAAAATTGTAACTTACTCTAATTTTTAAATACAAATATTCCTATTTGCTGACAGGGCATTTGTTAAGAAATTGCAACCACTAGGAAAAATCTCAATAAGGGGCCTTTTCCCATGCATGTAGTTAATAAATAACACGGAATGTTGAGAATGTGAGAGAATACGACAGGTATAAGCAGTTTTCGTACCGAGGTTGAGCGCCTTTTTATTGATATAGGGCCCAGCTCATCTGAAAATCTTGCTTCACTACTAGGGCACAGATGATAGATTGTACCAGATGTCTCACTCAGCAAAAATTGTGTCCGTGATTTTTTATAAGCAAACGTTGGCCGCCATTTTGGCAGTAAGTGTAATCCACGCCATGAAACGTGAGCAATCACGCATTTTGGCAGTAAGCGCCATTTTGGCAGTACGTGTCGCACGCGTCATTTGGCGTGATAGCCTGGCGAAAATCGCGGACACGAAAATCATAGGGATAGATACACAGTGAGACATCTGGTATGATCTATAATCTATGACTAGGGTGAGCAAAGGGTCTAATGGGGGTAAATGCCTCAGTGGTTATACATGGTTAAAAATGTCCTGTTACAGTACATGGTTGAAGAATGTAAACAGACAAAACTTCGACATGTCCGGCTTATATTGTTCAACCCTTTTTTTAAAATTACACCCTTCCATATATCACGAGCCTTATGCAAGAGTTCTCCTTCGCTTCGAGTTTCTTGTACCTTCTTATAACGTTTGTACAGTAACAGGAACTAGATCCTAGCCCCCCACACCTATGCTGTCTATTTTTGATAAAAGATACCCAGGAAGCGAGAAATTTTATCCTACAAGGAAAAGCTAAATAATCGGATATAATTTCAGAAACTTGTATGCTTGACAAAAAGGCGCCACATTTAGTATGGAATCCTTTTAATTTACCAAACTAATGTACATGTCAAAATGTGGACATAGCATTACGAGACTTTCTCCCAGATGATAGATCACCCGTCAACACTCAAGCGCCAAAGTGGGAAAAAATGTCTACTGTTGTCTGAAAACCCTACTGGGAAATTGACGCACAGTTCAATTGAATAAAATGCTGAAAACTTGAATAGCTATACGTTACTATTGACACTCCATTAGGACGGAAAGAAATGAGATACATAAAATGCTAAAAATTTGACGACGATTCAACGCTGCATGAGATTTCTCAATAGGGTGGAAATTAAGAATGCACTCAATCGAGCTATTTTTCCATTTAAGTCAGGAATTTTCCGGTGCGTTAAATAATGAACTATACTTAGATGTTTTTATCACAAAAATTGGAAAAGTGCAATTGTGAAATTCCCATTTGTGAAATATTGATAATTTGAATTATTATTAATTTAATTATCACATTTACTTTAATTTATTAATTAAAATCATTAATGGCAAATTTAAACGATCCGTAAAAAATCTTCAAAATCAAAAGTCACAAAGAGTAAATGGCACACTAAAATTTTAGCTTGTTATTATCTATCCATGACCATTGACCATGGCGTGCAATTAGAAGATAGTTTGCTATAGGTCTGCTATAGTGTAGTATTGAATAATGGTAAATAAAGATTTAAATATATGTAAAGAAATTACCGTTTGCAATAGGATTTTGTCGTTTCTTAACAAGATTATAACTTATAGTTATAGATTAAGGAATCTCACGTTGTTGGTGGCATAATGGTTTCACTTCAAGGTTAGAATTTCGCCTTACGAAAATGTAAAGAGTGTTTTCGCAGTTTGACTCTATACCGAGACCATCATTATAACAATGGTCAATGGGCGAACAGTCTCAGAAATGATAGATCAGTTACTATTTTAGCATGAATACATTTAGTTATAAGATTTTGGTATTCAGTTTACCATCCGTTTACCCGCGTGAATGATATTGAAAGTGGCTCCTATCAACAGCATAATTGCACCAAACAAAATGTAATCATGGCAATATCTCTTTAAGGCCCACTTATACGACACGGTTATTTGAAATACAATGAACCAATATACTCGAGAATAGATCACTTTGCATCATTGCATGGGTCTTTCTTTACTTGACATTCTTGTTCAATGTATTTAAAGAGACTCGCAACGCCTAAGTACTTCCTACATAAAACTTATAGTACTCATTGAATAATTGCATGGGTCTTTCTTTACTTGACATTCTTGTTCAATGTATTTAAAGAGACTCGCAACGCCTAAGTACTTCCTACATAAAACTTATAGTACTCATTGAATAATTGCATGGGTCTTTCTTTACTTGACATTCTTGTTCAATGTATTTAAAGAGACTCGCAACGCCTAAGTACTTCCTACATAAAACTTATAGTACTCATTGAATATGAAAGAAATCTTTTGCAAGTTGTAACCTGAAAGATCTTTTGGTAATGGACCACTAATTTATTTGCACCTTGTGAAATTTGTATTTCCAAAGAGGAGTATCGATCACGATTTCCGTGATTTTATAACTGACAACACCAACACAGAAAAAAAATGTCACAATATTGTTGGCATAATTTAATTTACGAAAATGCCATTCATATCATATGTGAAACAGGGTGAAAAGAATTCTAAACCCCGGAACAGAGTTTCCAATATAGACATTTTTGGAAATATTTACTTCAGCAAAACCCCGCCACCCACCGGAGTCGGAGGTCTTCGCCATTTTGAGAAAGCATATTAAATGACCTGGTGTTGACAAGGAAAATGGTGTGTAATGTGTTCATGTGTAAAGTTAAATATTTATTTACACCCACCCAAAAGGTTTAAAATGAAAAATGTTCTAATGTAAGTGGTGAAAATTAAATTAGAAAAATTTTACAAACAAATTTGAAAAAGAATGTAATAAAGAAGAAAATGATTTATTAACAAATTTTAATACACATGCAACACATGTATGATGTCCAAATAAATTTCTTAATTTGAAATTGACACTTCATTATAAGACAGTTATTTGAAGTTTTTAATAAACCTACGCATCTGTGCCTGTGGATTTAGCTCTTGTTAATTCATTAAGAACAAACTATATTTTCGAATTTTAAGATCAAATTAAATTAAAACAAGAAATTGAAAAATGATCGCAAAACCACGGAATTGTTAAGCTATAGGATTCAAGTGGGAATCGCATTATTTATACGAAATACTGTAAATATAGTATTATGCAAAACACTGGAGAACTATTAGACAGATAAAGTGTATTATATTAGTTTTGATGTACATTTTCAAATGAAAAGTCAGCAAAGCATATTGACTCAAAACAACTGAAAAATTTCCATCTTCTGATTTCAACACTTTCAAGACTGCTTTCCAACCCGCAAGACTGAAATAAGTTCACTATTGGATTGAAAAATCGGAATTTCACTTCAAAAGATTTGATTAAGATTTAAAAAATTAATTATCATAAATTAATTTTCTCTCTAAAAACGTTTTAGTCATCATCAGGATTCATGTGATATAAAATCATTCTATTTTATATCATGCGATATAAAATTATTTTAACTTTTAAAATACGTGACAGTTTTTGTTATGGTTGCAAAATACCATATAAAGGAACTCTGGATAGTAGTTATAGTTAATTTTAGTACGATGATACACTTTTTTATCCCTGCCTACACAGAGTACTTGAGTTTCTATGGTTCAAACACGGATATAGTTACTGTAGGAAATGGGGAAAAGCACGACGGAAGCAATTATGTGTGTGAAAATATCCGAACAGCAAGGGGGTGCTTTCAAATGTCAATTACACTGTTTACAGTAAAAATATGATATTCTATTTCTGTTTCATTCATTTTGTTTTGTTTTGCCCAAAGTTGATATAATGGATTCCAGATTCTTGAAATTGGATTTTCTAAATCTGCATGGGAGGAAAAATTTTGTTTTTGTTTGATTCGGATTAGAACTTTCCGGAAAACATACTTTACAGTTACAACAAAAACGATAGGTCGATAGCAAGATTCATGTTTTATCTTTTGTTCAAACATTTTAATTGGGAGATACTGAAAAAGATTTCCCTCTCCCCTCTGCAAAATTTGATTTTGCAAGAAAGTGGGTAGCCTGCGCAGCAGCCTGTTTTTTTAGGGATTGCCACGCAGGCTATAGGAGGTGGGGAAATAATTCATCAAGAATCCAAGATACTTCATGAATTAAGATTCTGCAATATTACATATTGTGATATAACTTAATTTTTGGTAAAAGAAGAGTAAAATGGGAAATGAATTTTGCAGGGAGGTCGAGAATTAATTCAAGCACGATACTTCATGAATAGATTCTTAAAACTAATGTCTATTTGCGTCTGTTTTCATACGCTTTTGCTAGTTTCTACAGTTTGACTAGTTTCTATAAACAAGTATAATATTGCAGTACAGCTTTAGTCTATAAAATAAAGAATGTTCAAAACAAAATGGTATTACAAAACAGCACAAAAACCCACAATATCACTATCACACATGCATCTTTAATTTTATTGGGATAGATATGACGTCAGTCACGTTAATAGTCTCAATAGCATTGAGAGAAAAAACTGAATATTACTAGGCCTAACCTAAATTGGTGCAAAAGGGCTGGCAGTGGCAGCCTAGTATGTGTATCTCCTTAATTAATAGAAGTACTCAATCATTAAATCGTTCTACAGCTCCCATTAAAGTTCCTATTAAAGTTACTGACTTTTAATTAAAGTTCTTTTAGCAAGGATTTAAAATAAATTCATTTGGTTTGAACATAATTATTTACAGCATGTATAGCACTGTTTTTTAAATGACCTTTGAACGTGTATTATAAAGCAACCCTTTAAGTGGCAATGTGCCCTGCTTTAGTATTTTACTCTGTCTAATGCCAGACGATTTTACCCATTAAGGGAGCGTGTTGCTACTCCATTGGTTAAAATTAATTAGATTCAACAGAAATGTTGACTGCACTTGAAAACTCAAAATGTTTTGAAAATACTGAATTATACATATATACAGTATAATGAACGTTTTTAATTTAATGCTGTCCGAATGTGCATAACTATAAGTATTGTAGCCGTCTGTATAAAATGAAACATGAATGAATATATTTTGATGTATACAACTGGATATAATTCCGTATAAGATATAACGTAAACAATAAGTTATGTTTCGAGAATATTCAATTATAGATATCTATGGTAATGACGCTTTCATTGATGTTTAAATGTGTGTTAACACTGCAGTAAATTCTTGCTTTAATCACCAACAATTTTGACTCACTGTCCCCATCTTCAAATAAACTAATTTCTGTTTTAAACATATTAAATTCCAGATGTGTACAGCCCGATATTTTTCAGTGATTTGTCACGTGTATTGACACCACAGTCTCTAAACGAGGTATGAATTAACATTTAACAGCCATGTTTATTTTAAAATAAAATTCTCATTTCCTATAAATGCAATTTTGTTTTTACATAGGAAGATTATTTTTCTGGTATCTCGGTATTGATCAAGATTAGGTGGTCTTCAATTTAGATTATGTTTTGACTATATTATAATATATGATTTTTTAAAATCCTTGATGCTAATGATTATTGATAAAGCGGTATGTAGAAAGTAGACTGATCAGTGATCACTCACCTCAACACAATTTGAAATAAAATACTGGAAAAGACTTGTATTTTCTTTGTACAATACAATACAATTTTCCCTCCATGTTTATCTATTTTGTGCTTTATAGTTATACAGAGTTATATAGTCTAAATATTAATGTGTTCAGTGCTTGAAGGCAAAAGTGACTCAGGCCAAAAACGTTTAAAACCTTCCAATTATAATTCAACCTTATTTGTAAAGGAAGAATTTAAATTTATTTTATTGTACTTTGCATGCACGTTCATGATGACACCAAAACTTAAATTGTTTCACATACACCAATTTGCAGTGAAAACTATGAGTCACATACTTTCAGCCATACTGCTGGCTTGTTTTTGCCTATTCACATTTTACATGCTGCAGACGTGAATGTATATAAAGGCCAATACACCAACTGCTATCTGCTGTCTGATTTCTATTCAAATGAAACTAGATCCTTCTAAAATCCATTCCAGACAATCTACATAAATTTTTCGCATTAGTTATTCACTGTGTGGGTGCCCATTAGTTCAATTTTAAAGTTTATAAATGGCACATCTTAAATATTACCATATATCTTCAATAATTTTAAAAATCTTCAATTTCAGGTATTCACTTCTTAATCATTCAAATTCAGCATAGAATGTGCATGAATTGAATATAGGGCCAATATCTATGCATACACGGAGTATCCATTTATGGCTGATAATATAATTGCTGTAGACATGCTTGAGGGGTCTCTGTAGTTATGTGCCTCATGTTATTATTACCAATGCACTTCATCATCCTAATTCTATACATTTCACTCAATGTCAGCTGTAAATGTCTCAGTAGCCCACAAACTAAGCAGAATTTTACTTTGATTACAGTATAATGCGCAGTCATTTTTGTGTAGGAAAACACTATATATGCAAACAATATTATAGTGTCTGATAAATTGTGGGCAAACATTAACGATGATGGATCCTACATTCACATTGCAAATATTAAGGATGTCCCCCATAACACTTAGATAATGCATGGCCACTCAAACTTGTTAGAAATAAATGCTTTTTATGTTTTCTATTTACACACTTAAAACGTGTCAGTCCTTGAAATGCAGAGCAGACAGTAAAGAATGTATTAAACACACAAACTATGACCATTATCAGTGTTGTCACGAAATGAATTCTAAACGGAATACCTGTTCCCCATATCTTAACTTCCCCCATAGAACTTTCAATTTTAGTCAACAATTTGGAAAAATGTTTTCGAAATCAAGAAGGTTTCACTCAAAAAGCCCGAATTCAATGCGGCTTTTATCTCAACAATTGGGAAAGTTCGCGTGACTGATGGAAATAAGTATTATTGGTCGTGGACAATGCCTACTAAATATACTAATGTACTTCTATTAATACGCAATACAATTAAGTATGGCTGATTTAGTTTGAAGGCTGCTTGGGGTATGTCTCAAGGATGGATGATCCTTTCATCCAGCATATGTTCCTTAAAAACTCCCATGGGAATTACGCGGTCAACGGTTTGACCCGACGTGGTGTGAAAATCAGATTACAAAACGACTAAACTCGATATCATGGCCAGATAATCGCGCATAATAACAAGTAATGACATAAAGAATTATCCACGAAATGCATAGGGCTCATGCTCCCTCCTCACGTAAGTGGTAAAATCCCTGCAAAGAAACTACCCACATTTAGGTAGCTAGTCTAAGATTCATCTTTCGAACAAAAGTGAGCTACCAATTGCCTAGGTTCTCATGTGTTTGAAAATATTAATGGAAACCCACTCGATTGATGTAGAGATAAAAACATGCTGTTTGACTCACAATGTCAATGTCCCTAAACACTATACCACAAATCAGTGCAACCCCGGTACTCCAATCTCCATATTTCTTCCAATATTATTCTACCGAAATATACACGCAAATTCTTTACTTTAACTGAAGGCAATTTGTTAATTTACGCTTAGTTAACAACTCTCTCAGAATATATTACTGTAAACTTCGCCGGAAACTCAGAAGAAAATAGAGCAACTAAACCAAAACACACTTTTCCCGAAAAACATTATTGGTAGCCATATATTCGTTTCAAACCGAACACCATAAAAGAAGAATAAAACATATGCAGCGAACGCTTTCTAAAATCATGCCAAACAAACAAAGCGAGTAACTTAAGTCTTTACGTTGTATTCTTGTTTGAAATGGAACAGTTAGAATATCGTTTGAATTCAAATTCGATTTCAAAACACTAACGTAATCTTGGACTTTCATATAGGAAGCAAGACACTAGGAGACAAATTAAATCTGCCCAGAAGGCAGAAAGCTTTATGAACTCTTGCGGCCAAAATTTGCTCCATGTTGTGTAAGCCTCTGCCGCTTTTGTACCCTAGTTAGACCTTTTAAATATAGTGTACATGGAAATCGAAATGTAACAAATGTTCTATTCCGATGTTTAATTTAGAATACACCGCGCAATTTCGAATTATTTCTGTTTCCGGAAAAGATTCAATTCGAAGCACAACATGTCCTGTCAAGAGTCCATAAATCTTCTATGCACGCAACGGAAGATTTGTATATCGAAGGCCCTATCGTTCTACCAATTATTGGCTCATTCATATCTTGCGATTGTGCCGTTATACCGGTATACAAATTAAACCGTAGAATGCAAAAAAACGCGATGCAAGCAACAGAAGTTTTAAGCAAGCCCGAAGGCTGTAAACCACATGTTTTAATGAAGAAAGCATATTGGCAAATGCACAGATATACACTGTGAATCGGAAAAGAACCTTTTTTTGCCCTAGCAATTTGAAGTGGAACACCTTTCAGTCGCTATAATTAGGCTGAGGACTTTGTCGAGTTCTTTGTCAATAGAGGTAAAAAGGTTTTTGCGGAACTTTAAGGAGGGCAAACGAGGAAAAATACTCGTAATTCACATGCATTCCAAAGCGAATCTCGCAAACAAACATTACCGTATGCGATCAAATTTCACACGCCACTGTCCGCAACAAAACACGCTGATTTGTATCAAAGTATCGATACTATAGTAACGTTATAACTTTAGATACGGTAATTTACCTTCACAGTTGACCAATATCAAACTCCTTATGATCCATAGTGAGCCATAAAAGAACCATGCGGTCATAAATACAGCCATCACTGACACTGTTTACAGAGGCCTCTGCGAGCTCTTTGTTTTCTCGCTGCCACTTGCGAATAATCACGCTTTGAACTCGATGCTTTTCGAAGCTTCACAGTCGTGCCTAAAACCAAACAAACACATCACGTTTAAGAAAACAGCGAGTGCTACTATCCCTATAAAGCGAGTGGTTGTAATCCCGACCGACTTATGCTTGGTTTCTCGTATGTCAACACGGAGCTAAAACGACTCCAGTTGTTGAAAATGTGTTCGGCTTATGTCGTAGTTGCCCAGAACAGTCGGCGCCATACGTACTCGAGTAGTTGTAACAGTAAATACCTTGTAAAAACACTAGATATACGCGAACGATTAATAAGAATGTCCATTACAAGTGCTAAATAAACGCATTCGCAACAGATGGTTCGGAGCGCTTCACGGCCACGGCCGCGTTTCCCTTCGGATTTGCTTGAGTGCAAAGCCGTGTCCGGATCGAATTTGAAGCGCTTTTGTCTACCGTGTCTGCGTATTATAGACACTGGGAATGAGTAGAATGACTTAATTCGCTCACAAGGATACGGTGAATGATTGTAGCACCACAATTTTGCCGTAATCTGTAGTAACAGTACACAAATAGCAGACATTACCAAAACGAAGGCACCATAGTTGATTGTTGGTTTTCACTACTCCGCGCGAACTCTGCCTTTGAAAATGCCTTTAAGCCACTTTTGTCGAAAGTTTTAGCCACGTTACAACTTCGTCGTTTCACTATACTGAACGATGTACACTCGTAAACATAGTATAATATATCTTCAAGAGTTTCCGTCTAGGCTAATATACCAAACGACTCGATATTTGCTCTTAAATATCGCACTCGTAGAGACTTTACACGCTATAATCGGCGGTTAAGGTGACAACCAGAGGTAGCGTATGATGCCCTTAGCTCTATCCCGATGTTGATACCATGAACACTCACAAAGTCTAAGCACGGCAATATACCCAAGTCTCGGGTTCCATTAATTAATCCCACTGTTAATATTTCTTGTCGTACGAACGAGGCGCTGCGTGTTTAATATCGCGCAGTGCATTAATAATGCAGTCGTTACGAAAGGTAATCGATCACAATCAATCAGGCTCGTAGCAGTTTTTGACACACTAGAATAAGTACTTTCCGTTGCTAGAATACCTTACCATCTAACGGACTCAACGTGAGGTTGTTATGGCAAACTAGTTGATTTGATTTATGGCTTTTTGGTTGCCCACCTTTCAAAATACACCTGATAAGTCACAACATTCCGCACGGGCATTATTAAAATACAACATAGCAATCAATGCGAACGCGGGCGATATTTTATTACGACCCTCGAATTATTACCCCGTGTATCATATTAATGAATATTATACTTACTTTTTACTTTTTTTAGAATACTCAACCGTATCTCTCGGTGCGATCTGCAAGTGAGCGAGTGAGATTTCAATATGCTCAAGTTTCCAGCGGGGTTGCTTACAAATATCTTATACAGGGATTTATCCAATCCCCTCCCCGCACAGGCTCAATTAAAACCTGTCAAAATACGAACTTGTCAACTGGCCTTTGTTTCCGCACACCTTGGATTGAGTAAAAACATTTTCGATAAGCTAATGTTACACTTACATGCGATCTACCCCAGTACGTTTAACCTCTATGCGTTGCCGGCCAAACAGTATAAACCCGTCCATTTGCCGAAAATCGATAATTTTCCTGTTTTTTACATTAAAAATGGAGTTCCTTTGTGCTGTCAGTGTCAAACTGTGAAAGATATGCAAAGCGAAGTAAACATTGTTTTTGTTTAAACATTAAATGCATCTGCTAGCTCTTGGCGAAGTTCTAGAATCGAGCCTGAATTCACGATTTCGGCTTTAATCACTCATTTAGTTTGAGGCAAACCACAACGTGAGAAACTGGCGTTAATTTTGTTGAATTTAATAGAGGTTTTAATTTTCGGTAGGAGCATCTGCTTTTGGGAGATGAAAGCAACGTAAAGCCTTAACCCCTGCAGCGTGTTTGAATGTGGACTAAAAATGATTACCCAAACTAAATAAACTCCCTTGGAGCGCTCGGCCAATCAGCGCCTAGCTTTGTGACAATTTAATCATAATAATTAGCGCACGCTTGATACATCCAACCGCGCGAGACAATAGCCAATCAAAACGAAGCAGTCGTTAATTTCGATCTCATTTGAATTATCCGGACTTCCCGCTGCTAAAAGCCCTTCTGAATGGCCGCGAAAAGCTTTGAATTTACATTGAAGTGCATAATTTGTGGCCATGGCAGATGGCTAGCATCGGCCGCTAATGGAAATTTGAAAGGCAGACCCTCGCTGCGTTTAATATTTCAAGACAGCGTTTCACAACATCCCTTGTTGAAAACAATGAGGTTTTCAATTCCGGATTATTTCAAAGCAGAAAAATCCCAAAAAGATAAAAACAAGGGGCAAAACAACTGGATTAAAGCAGTTTAAGAGCTTTTGAAGCATTTCGTTCTCGGTGTGGGAACTATTTAACATTTGTTCACAGTTAATAAGATATGTCGCGTGATGTTCCGTCGCTATTCTTTAAATGAAAAGCGTGTTTGCTTTGCGAGGCTTTGGCATTACTCGGTTCAATTAAGCCGTGTTGTAGTGTCAACGATAGAGAAAGGCCCGTGTCAATATTATTACTGCCTTTGACAGCTTCTATTCTGATAGCGAACTGCAAAAGCAAACAGAAAACGACAGTCTAATTTGAATTGGAAAAGGACCGATTCGAAATTGCCCAAAATTGGGCGATGCGTGAAAACTCATTTTGACAGACATGCCACAAAAAATTTACTCCCTCGCCGATACGAGGTACTTTAGGTAAATGCAAGTAAATTCCCTACACAGTGAGAATAAAATGATAGTACAAACTTACCTTCTACGTTCGACGAGTAAACAAGACAGCTGCTGGGAGTTTGGATCAATAGCCACCACAGTTTGAGATGACAATAACCCCAGCAACTGTTCGGCAAACCTATAAACACATTCTAATAATCTTGTCATTGAATATTCACAAAAACACCGTAGCGCGAGGTTGGGGGTCTTATATACATACATCAAACTGATGTGCATCTGAACAGCCAATCAATTGAAATTGAAATACATCGTGATGGAAAAAAATAAGAAATATTCCTAGTTGATTCAAATGTTCGTCCCGCACCAGGCAACTCAAGACACACTACCAAATAATTATGATAAATAAACTACAGCCTTGAGTATTTCGTCGAAAAGCAACACTGGCAAAATGTAAAATTAAATTGCAACCGGACGAATGTGTACAAATTAAAAGTGTACATTGTGTATTTAAAATTGCTTAATTTTCATAAAAATTCAGATATAATTTTAAGATATGCAAAAGTGTTATAAAGATAATTTTGCTTGGACATTTATCTAGCGAGCATATCTCGTACGCTTTAATCTGTGCTCTCGCCCCACGTGACCGTTTGATAACTCAGACGTTTTGACCCATGTTTAAAATTGATGTTATAACACCTTTTATCTACCAGAATTTAAGAGATATATTACGGAGCAGGTCATAATTATCGTACACGCACACAAACCCTTTTAAACTACGTTTTAATATTATGACATGACCATAGCGTCGTTTCTAGAAACAGAACATTTAGTAACATGCCCGTCATGCCTCGATTCAATGTAAGCATTCCCGTATGTTTTGAATCAAAATTTCTTTCATATTTTGTTTTTAAAAATATCGCCAGCAGCACAGTTTTCAAACTAAAGCGGTAAAGCCCCTTACTAACTTCGACCTGCTCTTTTCATCTCCGGTTAACTTATATAGGGTGTAGATAACCGTCACATTTTAAATCGACTCAAAAGCGTGATCAAGGTCTGTTGTCTACCAACAGCGACTGAACTGTACAGGTTTGAGACAACATATCCGGCTTGAGTCAACTTGAGAACAATTAAAACCGTGTTGGGTTTCTGCTATGAATATGTTTCATAGTTTTGTTGACATGTGGTTTTGGATTTAAATATTGTGATTATTAGATTTAGGGATATCAGTAACGTCATTTCAAATTCATAAAATTATCTGCTGAATCATTTCTTTTGGCAGATTATTTGCGATACAGATCTTTTTATAGAATCTCAAAAAGCCTTAATATGCATGACGACTTAATATACAGCGCTTATATAAAAGACTATTTTACCAAGTTCCGGCATATATCGGAGTTCTTTCCTCGGTATGCTCCACAGCAGATCAGATCATCAGAGCACACTGTGATCAGAGATGACTAATTCAATGGAGTTGGTTTGTTAAGAACAATGATTACTCACTGCACTCCACCCAAAAAACCTGATACCAATTCAGAGTCCAGCATTATTGGCACCATATCAACAAATAATTTTAAAACATTATCAGTCGATATATGCATTTGCTGCATGGAATATAGCGGCACTCCCTTTAAAACATGTATTCTATGATTATAGCTAACTCAGTAACTTAACTGGTAAAACTGATCAAGATGTAAAGCTTTAGAATATATCGAAAACGTACGTGATGAACGCACTGCTTTCAGTTATACTCATAAGACAAAAATTATATATCTCGTTAGTCGAAATATAATTATTCAATTGAGAACACTCGAGAACATTTTCTACTTATCATATTACGGAGTGAACAATAACACAACACAACATATATATATATATATATAAATATATATATATATATAAATATATATACCGGGTGTCCCAAAAAAAAGTACTCCAGTTTGATTCGTAATAACTTATAAACAGGTAAAGCTTTCAAGGAGAAATAACTTGCATCAAATAGAGGAAGGACTAACTTAGACTTTGATATATTACACTTGTATTTCACTTAAAAATTCACGGAGATATTAATGTTTAAAATCGGGAGCATATTTTTGGATGTGTCTGAAATATGCAAAAAACGTCGTATCAAATATTAATCAAGATTTGCCCGACTGAAACATGCACTATTACCAGTAAATAAATGACAGTTGAGAAATTGTTTATTATGAAACAAAGTATTATTATATCTACAAAATACAAGCAAGATTTATTCGTCCGAAATCCGCGTTCGTTCCTATAGCACCAGGGGCGGATTTAGACCGTTGCAACTGTAGCATATGCTACGGTCAGATTTTCCATAGGCCAGTTCTAACATGGATCGATCATAAAATCAATCTAAAATATAATTTAGCAATATTTTGTTTACTTTCCTTGTTTATATTTCAAGGTTTTATTTTATTTAGTTTTATATGTTCTAAACCATTTTATTTTGACAAATTGATGACATTTATAATACGTAACGTTAATTGTTTTAAGAATTCCCGCCCGAAAATACGGTTGTAATTGCCCGTTTGCGGGTCATTACGCAATGGACTATAGCTTAGAAAATATCATCCTTCAGAAATACACCGTAGCGTGTTGCCCATATATGATCAATTTTCGCTACGGTCAAATTCATTAAGGTCGAATCTGACCGTAGCGAAAATTGGCATATACGGCATTCTGATTGGTTTGCTACGGTCAAACGTAGCAAACCAATCGGAATGGGGCAAATGCTATAGTTTGCTACGGGGGCATGAAATTGGCTACTGCTCCAGAACGATGGAATATCTGATATTTGTGTTTGGCTCATCGACAACAACATGATATTGGGAACCCACAGTACGGTTGTGCGCATTTCGAAATGAAAGCCGTCGTAAAGCTAAAGGATTTATATGCGTCGAGGTAGAAATAAAATCAGATAGTAAAACGAATCATTTCCAGTCAGGTAAGCCTTATAAATGATAAGAGATGCACATTATATTTTAATTTGAGTTTTTACTGTATAGTGTTCGCTATTAACTTCGCTTTATTAAAGTGTTTGTGCGCGTATGTACAGTATACCTGCATGTATTGGAATTAATACGCGAATTATGATACGCGCGTATATATATCGTGTTTTATAGCGCGCTAATATTTGTTTGTAATGCGTATATATTCGTAAGATACGCGTATTCATATCATACGATATGATATGCGTATTCGTATGATACACGCGTTCGTAGATGATACGCGCATTTCGGTATTCAATTGATAATGATATGCGTATGATACGAGTATCATACCGATATCGTATGTTAAAATATACGCGAGCAATAGTTTACATTTTGAGATCATTTTGGCTTATTTTTGCTTGAGAAATGAATACAATGAGGACAAATTTAATGGTCACATGCAGCGCTCAGAACGCAGGAAATGGCATTTCCGGGCTTCAAATTTCAAAAATTTTCCGGACCCCCCTAGGTATGCGAGGTCTTGGAAAATGCTACGGTCAGATTTTTGGCTGGATCCGCCCCTGCACTGTCTAGGCGGTCTAGCTCCTTCCTAGCTCTGTATAATGAATATACCGTCTAAATATTATCGGCACTTAATTGAACGCCCGTAATGCATAAGATCAATTTATATATTGCGTAGATTTTCAAAGATTTACTCAATATTCACGTCTGAAATCTTTATACATCTGAAAACAACACTGTCACCCCTTCTTAGCATATCGTCACGCCATCGTGATCTACGGCTTGATAGCGCATGCGCATTTGCGCTACTAAAGAAAAAATCGGGTGTTCCGGGGTAAAGATCCTTTACACAACATGAGAATCGAAAGTTCTAAAGTTTACAAAAAAATTACAATAACGAAAGCGATTCCTCGAAATTTTTGTGAACTTGGCAAAAGGATAACAGAATATGTAAATAAGTTAACTGAAATTGCCTAAATAACCTTCAAAGTACTGACTAAGTACAATAAATCACTACGAACATAAATCGTATACACCCCCCGGAAAGTTTACTCTATGACTGTTTGACTGATTCGTGTGAATTCGCCAGCCATCACAATAGTGTGAAGTGAAACTTCACACTAAAAAGGGGCCGGTTGTTCAAAACCCGATTAGCTTAAACCCAGGTTAATCTAAAATTCAAAGCAAACTTCCTGACAGCTTGTTTACAAATTTGGAAATATTTCTTCAGAAATATTGTTCGGATTGATAGAAGTTTTCTTCTCTGAAGTTTTGAAATAAACAGACATGCACAAAACCCACCTTTGAACAACCGGCCCCAGAGGTTTAGCTTTCAGATCAGAAGCTGTGCAATAATAAAAATGTCATTATATAGTTAATAGTTTGGTAATCAACAATTGCATGCATGCATGTATTTATATAATAAACAGTACAAAGTGCACAACAGACGAGTGTTGGAATAACTGTATGAACGGATCATAGATTAGGGGTGCACCGGATAGTGATTTTTACTATCCAGCCGGATATCTGCAAAAAATCCAGATTTGCCAGATATCTGAAAAAAATCCGGCCGGATACTGGATAGTTTATTCAATTTGAAAACTTGAATGGCTGCAACAAAGGATCAAATTCATTCTGTCTGCTTCATATGTTGACCATATGTGAAATTATTTGCGAAAAACACATATAAAGATTAGGTGCACAAAGGAATAAAAGGTTCAAAACCAGAAAACCTTATATAGATAAGGTTTATACAATTTCAACTTGTAAATAATGGAAAACTGCAACTGTATTTCAGCAAATTGAGAAGGCATATATATATATATATCGTTTTCTTTTTAAAAAAAATTATAAAAAACACGTTGTCAAATTGTCATTTCACCTTTTGCTTTGTTTTCTGTGACATTTACTTCAATATCGTTATGTTTGTTTGAAACCACTCACCAATATTTAAACAGTAAGCGTATTGAGTGACGTTTTGTTGTATTGATGTTGTATGGGTGTTTCACAATTGACGGAAATTTAGTACACTTCAGGAAAAATAGATTATCCGGATTCCGGTATCCGGCCGGATAATTAACAATTATTCGCCGAAGGCGAGGTGATTATCGGGGAATATTATACCTCAAATTCAAATTGTCCAATCAGGAAGCTTAGTTTGTGCCACGTAAGCATGAAATTAATCGCGATATCACGCCTTACGTCATCAATTAGCGAGCCTGCGTTCCTTTTGACAATGTTCCACCCCATGTTCCCCGGGGAACATGGGGTGGAACATTATTCGCGTAAATCACGCGGGACAACACGCATGACAACAAGATGGCCGACAAAACATAAATAGTATTAATGAGTGATGAATAATTCAATTTTAAACCTAAAACCTGGGGCTTTTTCAAATCTAAAACCTGGGGCCTTGTCATTAATATTCCAAACGATATGTGATTCGAAAGAAAAGCGACGATACTTGCGTTAATCCGAAAATAAAACACCGTATTCACGAAGGTATGTGTCAAGTTTTTAATTCTCAACTTGGAGGCTTTTAATTTTCGGTATAATATATCATTTATAGACCCTCCGCTCGGGGGATTCGGCGAAATATTACCCTCAGTGATGATATTTCCCTCGGGGCAAAGCCCCTCGGGAAATATCATCACTTCGAGTAATATTTCGCCGAATCCCCCTCGCTCCAGGTCTATAAATGATAAATATTCGCCGAGACGAAGTCGAGGTGAATATTCCCCGATAATCACCGAGCCTGAGGCGAATAATTGTTTTAGTATTTTTATATTATTTTAATTTCGCTTATTTCTTTATTAGTATTATTTCCATAAAACAGCTAGCCGCCATTTTGAATACCTGTAGGTGAATATAACCTGTAGGTGAATATAACAGCTTAATACGTCAAATTTGACCAATCAACGTGTAGGATTTGTTATGTTCACTTGTGCAAAAATACTAACAGTTGTTATAATATAGTCATTCCCCGTATATGAGCTGTTCTGCAATCTGATTGGTTGAATTACTCGCCGTATATCAGCATTCAGCTCATATCACTGGCTCATATACGGCGAGGAGCAAAAAAACAAGATGGCGGTCCAATGAAACTACACGAGTTTTGCGAAGCAGAAAAAAGGAAAATATTCGCTTTGAGAAAGATAATAGTACAAGGAAAAACTCTCAAAAAAATTTGACAGGTTAGCAAAATACATTTATTACATAGAAATTAGTTTAAATACAAGTTTTTTAAAGAATACCGAAACAACAGCGAAAAAAAACATGTTCATTGAGAATAAAAATTGTTCAGAAAAGTTTGCAACGAAAGACAAATGAATTTGCAGTCAACAAGACTTGCTATACTACCAAACATCTGTATAATATATCTGAGCTTTTCTTTGAGATATGCTGGTTCTAAAACCATTTCTTTCACTTTGTTTTCGAGTTGTAAAACAAATTAAAGTATTAATCAAATTTTCAAGGCCAAGTGGTTTTTGGCCGAACAAATTGTCAAGACATTGTAACAGAGGATAATTAATTATTGCTTCAGTTAATGGCTATTATTATTAATGGCTATTATAAAACAATTATACCATTCGCTCTCGTCGTATATAGTCCGTGTGTTGTGACCCGATATCGTTCACTTTCATTAAGCATGTCTTAGAACTGAAATATTCTTACGGGAATTAACACTTTCGAATACGCTGAGTTCAAATCCGAAAAGTTCCCACTCCGTAGACCCGCAGTTTTTTCACAAAATGCTATTTTATCTTCACTATTTTCACAGCAAATTTTTTCATTGTTCAACGTCACGGATCGATGACGATACAAGATTATGTCACTCAAAAGGACCAATTTCAATTAACCATTCTTCCTTTTAACAAAAGATCGGTTTTGCTCGAATCATTTTGAGTTATGTAATCTTATGCGTGTTGGACGTAAACAACATATCTTGTCTACAACTTTGAGAAGGTACAGATAACGCTTTCTAAAACCCTCAGTTCTAGAGATATCTCTATAAAATTACAAGGACATTAATGTCAAGTCTTTTAGCTATGTCACTGGCCAGAAAAGTAACTAATTTAACGCGATCAAGATATTTAAAACAAAAGTAACGCAAAGCCAACGTGACGGCAAAGACAACGTTAAAACGAAATATTGTCGAATGCTTGCAGGTAGAAGACGTACGACAGGATCAATCTTAAATAACCTTAAGCTATAAGAATAAATGTTCACATCAAAGACAAAGATCAGTCACAAAGTATAAAATATGCTCTGTAAACTTACCGCGAAGTGGGGAAATGTGTGCATGAGCTGTTTATTCGATGATTTCGACGAATATAGAAGCCCTCTTTCCAATAATACTCGCTTATCGCACAGTATAACGCCAACTAATATAATAGTTCAAATGCAATGATAAGTTATCTCTTGAATTACCTCTTGGAAACCGTGTTGGAAATTTCCATGCTGATCCTTTACATATAGATTCCCGTTTTTTATCTTTGTATAAAACATTTTGATCCCATGTAAGGAATTATTTCTCAGCCCAGAGACATAGCCCAAAGACTTGACATTAACGTCCTTTTTATTTTATAGAGATAGTTCCAGAACTAAGAATATTTTAAAGAATTATCTGTACCTTCTCAAAGTTGTAGACAAGATATGTTGTTTACGTCCAACACGCATAAGATTATATAACTCAAAATGATTCGAGCAAAACCGATCTTTTGTTAAAAGGAAGAATGGTTAATAGAAATTGGTCCTTTTGAGTGACATAATAGTGTATCGTCATCGATCCGTGACGTTGAATAATGAAAAAATTTGCTGTGAAATTAGTGAAGATGAAATAGCATTTTGTGAAAAAACTGCGGGTCTACGGAGTGGGAACTTTTCGGATTTAAACTCAGCGTGTTCGAAAGTGTTAGTTCCCGTAAAAGTATTTCAGTTCTAAGACATGCTTAATGAAAATTGTTTTCTAGGCACTTTTCTAGGTCACAACACACGGACTAATATGGCTGATAGCCGACTCGGTGCTACGCACCTCGTCGGCTATCAGCTCATATACGACTCGAGCTCGTGAAATAATTGTTAAATATCCAGCCGGATATATAGTGCTTATTATTGGCACTACTTATCTGGCATGATTACAATTAGCAATGCATAGTGTGAAGCGGTCCCAACAAAAAAATGAAAACTGACCAAAACACAAAAAAAACCAAGTGAACCGGTATTTTTTAAAAAAAATACAATCGAAAATCGAAACTACGGTAAAAAAGACACAACACACTACTCGGTACTCACGCAAGTGGTATTTTGAAGATGTTATCAAATTTCAAACAAAATCTCTTTAGTTTTTCGTGTGTAAATGCCAAAACTTGATTCATTTGCAACAAATTTGTATAAGTGTCGTTCGATTTTAGTAAAATATCAATTTTTCTTCAGGAGTTCAGGTTTTTTTCCATTTCCCCCCGATTTTCCTCCAAAATTAACATCGAGTATTTCGGTTTTCAAAAAACATCGGGTTTTTTCAGTATACCGAAACTGCCTCACTCTAGCAATTGCACCAATTAGGCCGTATTCTGTGGCCAATTATCGTTCAGTTCCGCTGCCCCCATTCGGGACCTACTTTTAGTTTAGACTGGTTCCCAGCAGCCTATATTGTGAAGGTACGGGCATCTTTTTCAAAAAGCTGGCAACATGGCTTGCTTTGTTAATTCGAATATGCTGATTTCGAAAATCAATGTTGCCAGATTCAAAACTTATGTTAAAGGGGTGTAATTCGCATTTTAATATATGACGTCATAAACCCACGTGAGTTTGACTTAATTTGCTATATACAGCAAAAAGGTGGACAAATTCGTCCTGAATACGACGTTTTCTTTGCAACATTCACATATTTATTTAATTAAAATGCGCCAAATAAAATTTCTATCAAATTGTGACACGCGACCCATCACGTGTCCAGCAATAATGACACAAGTATCGATTGTATGACGTCATATTCCTGCAGGAAAGTTCTTTCTGTTTTATTAACTAATTATAAACCAAATCTTACGAGTACCTTAACACATTTATTTAGCATCCATGTATGCACTCTCACATCATAATCTGATGAAACATTGCTTGTTGAAATATTACCAACGTCCAAGTATAAGATTCAGCTTCAACGTCAGAGGCACATCATGGACATGCTCTATGGTAGCTTATTAATGCATAAGTCGTTCTCCGATTTGCCGCAGCAACATAGTCCGGAACACACAATATTTGCTTTCTTGCACTTGCAACGCAGAGTTGCACAACCAGTGGTGCACTTGCATGTAATCATCTCCACACATGCTTTCGGAATTGGGTCACGTGTCATCAGGACTGGAACCAGCTTGTCATCCATAAGTTTCCAACCAGATTCCTCAGGCTTAGGCAGAATTTGCTTTGGACAATGCGCCTGTCGCCACACCATAGCCTGATAATGAGCTCTCATTATATGGTACTTCAAGGCGTCGCTTGTTGGTGGAAGTTTATCTGGAGTACCAGCCTTAGCAAATAGCAGAAATCGAGCCATATCCACGGATGGTACGTTTGTCTTGTAGATTCTGCAAACAAACGTTTCTGCTCTTTTAAGTGTGTCTGTTGTCAGAGTTCCTTCTCCGAGGGAAAGGAGCAGATGAAAGTAATCTTTCAACACCGTCCATGAGGTCTTCTTGGAGTGACCAAACAGGTACGAGGTGGTGTCGCAGCCGGTGATCGCATGAAATTGTAGAATGGCCTTCTCTGATTCTGCTGGAAGCTTACGATAGACATCGTCTAAAGGGATAAATTTGGGTTTCTTAGCAGTTCCTGCTGCAATCCAGACTTTCGAAGTTATCCGATGTCGATGGGCCAACAACAGCAGTAGCACATCTGTGTCACGGGCTGAAACGACAACATTCTGAGCAAACCCGTTGTTGTGTATAACATGTAAGACAATGCGGGTATCCGCCTCCTCGTGATTGCAACGCAGCCCAAGAACGTCAATTGTTGAGTCTGAGCACCGTACCTCCTCTTCATCCTTGAATCCGCCAGAAACAATAATAGCTTTGTGTTCAGGTGCCATTGTGATCAGCTCCTCGGATAAAAACCGAGCTAAGTCAGCCTTGTTGTCACCAAGTGCAAGAAATGCCTGCCAGTTTGATGGTAAAGGAACAAATCGGCCTTCAATAACTCTCCGAATGGCACGCACATTCCGAGACCTGCGAGTTCTGGTGGAGGCTTTGATCGACTTCTCTCGATATCTATCGAACACGATGTCGACTCGTTTGTACTCAGTCCCTTTGTTCAAAATAGTGCTGAAAAAGACATCCGACAAGTCACCAAACGTTTTTGCCTTTTCTGGTTTGCCTATTGCTGCAACCAATGCAAATCCGTCGATTACTAATGCCGAGTCGCCTACGAGGGTTACAGCTGCAGGGCAAGTAACTTCTTTTGTTAAAACCTCTGCAAGGACAGACTTGTTTCCAGATCTTAATGCCTGGTTCGTTTCAACAATGGAGACAGGGACAGGCATGAGCTCATGCTTCAGGATATCCTGCATATTGACTTCGCGACCAGCCTCATACGCGGTAATCAGACGGTGGAGAACGTTTCTATCGACAGTCAAAATTTTCTTTTTCTCCGTTGATGCCTCCTCTTTCATTACTTCGTAGAGGTTGGCAAATGTGAGGGGCTTGTTCTTGGAAAGGGAATCACGGAACGTAGTTTTAGGCTCTTGTTCCGCATTTTGTAGAACTCTAACCCTAACAAACTCTTCGAGTTGGGACTGTCCCAAACTTCGTGCATTTAGCAACGACTGCTCAATCTCCGAAGTTGCCAAGTCTTTGGTCGCGATATTCTGTAATTCTTCGTTTGACACACACAAGGAAAAAGCATTAAACCTCTGAAATGTCAAGTACAGTGCATTCTCCGCATCATTGTCGTGAATTTGCCTTGATAGCCCACCCTCTTTGTGAATTAGGCTGTCATCCGTTTTACAGTTGAACATCAGTGCAGTTTCAGCGGCGACATGAGAACGCAGATTGTATGAGAGAGCCCATCTGCTTAATGCTGAAGCTGTTTTGGTTATACCCACCACACCTCCGCCTTTCTTTCCAGTCGCATTCAACCATTCTTGAGCTTGGTCTGGGCTCACTTGGTTGAAATCGGCTGCAGATCGTTTGACAACGAAATTGCCCTTCTTAAATTCCTCAAGCACTTTTGCCGGTAACTGATGCATCTCTGCGAGATAGATTGGTCCCCATCTTGCGTAATTTGTGTGATCGTACCTCATAAAATAAGGCAGCATGCATCTGAATGAAAACAAGTGCAAGTCCCATATGCCATCACGCTGGGCTCTAGTAAACATTAACAAAATAGATACCATCTCCAGATAACTCCACCAAAAATAAAAATTTGCATTTGATGATCGCTCCTCTACGAATTTATCCATGACATCTTGAAGCCTGAAAATTTGAAAATATATATAAGTCGAAGTAGACAAGAAACGTGTAAATGTTAAGGCTGGGAGACATGAAAACTTAAAATTGGCCAAAAATATTCGTGTGACATGTACCTTGCCGTTTTCAGCGTTGTCGTCAACTTGTCGATGTCGTCGGCTTCGGACAGCTTCTCAATTTCATCCGCAAGATTTGCATCAATGGTTCGAAGAAATGTTAGCAACTCGGGTAAAAGAAGTCTCCACAATGCTTGAAATGATAACTTGTGGCTGCGCATTCCCTTATTGTATGCCTTTCCCGCCATCACATGCTCGATTGTGCTGCTACCTAAAATCCCTGCTTCTGCCCATGCTTCAGCAAGGCCACAGTCTTTGGTGTGCTGCCCAATAACCTTGAGAAAATTCATGGAAATGTGCAGTCCACCGAGACGCGGGATCAGCGTATCTTTGTATTCAGGGATAGTCCATTTGAGGTCCATTAACTTGTAATACAAGGCTTGATCAACTGTGAGAACTGTGTATTCTTGCCCTAGTTGCGAAGAGATGTACATACAGCGTCTCACTACAGTGTTCAGTGTATCTATCTCGTGTGCTGGTGCCTGAATTATTGGCATGTAACCCACAGTAGTAATTGCCGCGCTTTCTGCACTCCGTTTACTTAACGACTGATTAAAAGCCGACCAGCTAGGACGTGTTTCTTTGTTTTGTCGCGTCACAAGGTAAGACATATCGATGGCGCGTGCTTGCTGCACAATGTCAGACTCGTCCTTCTCAACTGTGTACCACTCGATCTCGACGCACTCGGCAAATACTGGGCATGTTTTACCCTCGTTGATATTTGCTGGTATAAGTTTTTCCATGGCTTCTGGAATTTTCAAAGTAACATTTGACGATGGCTTTAATTGCGATAGTTGTGCGTCTGGTGCAGGGCCTCTTTGCCATGCAGCCACTTGAGTTGCATGGAATGTATTCTTGCCATCCAGAGTTGAATCGTTGATGTCGATGTTATCGGCGGTGTAGTGGGTGAAGACGTCACTTGAGAGGTTGGGCGGAACTACAGCACCATTGTCTCTATTCATCGATTGCAGTGTATGCTCTGCTAGCGCTGTATCAATCTTCAGCACTTGCTTATAGCTGAGAATGTGCCCCGCACGATGGAAAAGCTCCACCAAATGCTTCGACCTTGTCAGTTGATGCAGTGTGCTTGCGAGACCGATATGCTTTGGAGTCCACCTTTTACCCTCGCTCACTGCGTATACTATATCTTGTGCGAGGCTCAGAATCAGCGTTTGGCGCTTTGCACTGCCTTTACCTTCGGTTTCACTATCACAGTCTATGAGTGTTTGCCCGCCAAGAACCACATTCAAGAACATGTATAATCTATCAGGGACGCAGTCAATTGCAGCGGCCTCGGCCACATCAAGGCCTTCATGTCCAGGTGTCGCAATAACGTCACCTCGTATCTGTAGAGCAACGTGAATTAGCGAACGAAATGCATCATCGTCGTGTTGATAAGTGGGCATAGTGAGCATATCATCGTTACTAATCGTAGAATAGTAGTAATCAGCAAGTACATCGTGGGAATACTTCCGTGGAATAAGTAATGGTTCTCTTTCTAATTTGTTTCGTTCCAGCGGTTGTACAAATTCAAACAAGCTACCCAACCTTTCCACTAATTTTTCTTTGAATGAGGTTCTACGACTGAAAAACGACTGAGGAACGGATGTCTCTGTTTCAGCAGCTATGTCCTGATATCGCTGCCAGACGTCCGATAGTTGAAGAACCTGTTCTTTTTCGGCAGCATACTGGAGCTCATTGCACAGGAATATGAAGGCAATGTCAGTGTTCTCTAATTCTTTCTTTGTTTTGGATGTACTATAACTGTAATCATTTCGGCAATTTTGGTGATACTTGCCTTCAGCAGCAATGAGATCATTTACTCCTGCAAGGCGAACTCGCATCTTGTTATCCAGTTTAGACAATTCTAGAATATTTTTACTCACGTTAAACGTGGACACTGAAATAAGGCGCTGTTTTCCATCAGGCTCCTGACAAAACATACATAAATCCCAATTTACTGGTTGAGTTGATCGCCTTGTTGAGCAAGCCTCCGAAGTAGAAACACCAGACGTCATGCCTTCAGATGACTCCCTTCTTCGTTTAGATGTGTTATCGCTTTGCACAGTTTCGGTCAAGCGCTTAATTTTGCCTTTATGAGTGAAGTCTGAGTAACATTTCCTATGCCAAACCAGTTCAGGATCACCGGCAAGGGAAGAGTCAAATGCAATACATATGCGATCCATTGCCTCATTGTAGCACGTGTCATTAGGTGCGTTGCGTCTCGCATTGGTCGCTTCTTTTAACTTCGCTAGTCCCCTCTCATGTGCCTTCGTGTACAATATCGTCGCATCTACTGTTACATATAACACATACCTTCAACTCAACAGAGCCGTCTCTTTTCCTCTTATTAGAGCTATTCGCAGACATTTCGTTTCCAATTTTATCACAATTTAAGCAACATTTAAACACTCGCAAGTAAGATAACTGTATACACTTCCTAAAACCCGCATATGTAATAAGCTGACCGTCTAGACTACCTAAAAACCACCTATAGTAAGTTCACCGTCTAGACTACATAAAGCCCGTCAGTTGTTGTAAACCTCCAATAGGCGGCCTTTTACTTTGATTGATATTGCTACATTACTTGCTTTAATCTATATAAATAAAGGGATTGTAGGGCTTGGCGGAAAAGCATTCTAACATTCTAAAGGATAACTGCGCTAATGCACTGAAATGTTTTCAAAAGCAAGAAGAGAATAACAACACAAATATGGTATAGAAGCATGCACTGCGAATACTTCTGTTCCTTATGTGCGCCATTCTTTCTATTCATGTGACATGAATATTATTTGATAGAAGTTGTAAATAGTGCTTTCTGACTAAATATGTGAATGTTGCAAAGAAAATGTCGTATTCAGGACGAATTTGTCCACCTTTTTGCTACATATATAACAAATCAACTCAAATTCACGTGGGTTTATGACGTCATATTTTAAAATGCAAATTACACCCCTTTAACATAATTTTTGAACCCGGCAACATTGATTTTCGAAATCAGCATATACGAATTAACAAAACTAGCCATGTTGTCAGAACTAGCCATGTTGTAACGAATTACTTTCAGCAGGTCGAATTGTAGAAACCACGCAAGCTAATCTTGCTGTGAGCAGTCAGTTCGCAGTTTCTGTTCAAAAAGACAAAAAAGTCTGATATTAGATTTACGGTATGTTTTAACATACGCATATATATAAACGGAAAATTAAGTTTGAGGATTGGAGATCAGCCATAAACTATTTTCGGAAAGACAAAAGAGAGCAAAGACCTATCTAAACAGAGTAAAGACCTATCTCAGGACAACCATAACCCAAGACCGTCTGAGTTCTCTTTGCCAGATATCCATTCACAAAGATATCTTGAAGTGAAAGAAAGATACGCGTACCTTGCATGAGCAGTACTTGCTAAATTTGTTGAAAAGCCCAGATTCTGTACTAAAACCACTAATTCTGTTTTGTGATTGGCGCGGTTTAATCAAAGAATCGCCCCGTTGAACCAGAGCCTTCGCGACATTTCAATTTATTATTTACTCCACTGTCGAAGGCTCTGGAATCCAGGGTAAGAAGACTTGCATTCAATCCTGTATAAGTAAAGAGTACCTGGGACAGTTGGGGAAATAACCACTCCAGTTCATTGCGGTAACCACTCCAGTTCATTGCGGTTAATTTCTGTCCTATTTCCTTCATATAGTTGGGGAGATATCTACTTAATTGTGGTGACCCCATTATTAACCTTTTCTCTATATAGATGGGCAAATATCCACTGTAACATCCACTGTAATGTCCATTTTTCTTAATAGTTAGGGAGATATCTACTTAATTGTGGTGACCCCATTATATATAAATTTTATCCCCGAACCAACAGCGCGGAGCGCCGTTCCCGGCGTAAACCCGTGGCGAGGGTGCTAATTCTGCTCGGATATTTACACCCGGGGAAAAGAAAGCATTAGCGAGGTGTGAAGTTCGTCAAACATCGCCGGCGTTTGGCTATGATCAAAGCGTGGACCTCCCACTGATCTCATTGGTCAAAATTAAATTTCGTTTTATGATGACTGCTTTACGACATCATAATAACAGACAGTATTTGAAAATATATCTGCTTTTTAATCTGCTTTTTATACGTATTCTTTTGAGAAAATTAAATAACCCCAATTAAACAAATAAAATATTAAAGGAAAAGTTATGGAACCAAAGGAAAACCAGTAAGAAGACGGGGGAAAATGCAAAAGACTTGCTAAAAGTAGGGAGCAAAGACGCCGACGTTTGCTAGAAGAGACTGAAAAACTTTATTCAGAAACCCGAAAAATCGTTAAAGACCTGCAGCCAAACAGTTCATTTGTTCGTATGAACCAAAGGTTGGAGCAATACATTGTTGGAAATCGTAACACCCAATGAACGGTAAGTTTGTTTTAAATATTGATGCACTTTTTTCTTTATAATTGCTTTAAAAACTGATCGTGGCTTATAGAAAGGACAGCATTATAAATTTCAGTGTATTTTTATTCATTATCCTTCTTTATTACATTAAAACTTTAAATAAAGAGGAAAGCAAAGTTATTTTCATGCGACGATGCAAGAATTTGATATCATTTTATTTATAAAAAGGTAGTTTAGTTTTCAGAACATTTTAAAACGTTGTGCTGCCACTCAATGGGTTAATAGTTGGGGAGATACCCACTTACAGTAATTGTGGTGACCCCATTGTATGGCGGCGAGAACAGAGGCTTTAGACAAGTATGGACTATGGAAAACATCTAAAAAAAATTTTTAAAAAACACAAATAACTAAATAAGCGTGGGCATGTAAGCTTTGACTGTCCATGTCTAGCTGCTTGATTCAAGCTGTCGTGGGCATGCTGATGAGCTCTGACATTGAGCGAAATAGTCAAAATTTAAATATTGTGAATGGGGTTTTCCTATTTTTGTGTCAATCTTCATTATTGTTGTCTGAAATATGCTAAAATATCCAAATTTATTTTTTTCCTTCATTAAGTCAAGCTATTTCCTGAAATTTGATGCTCAGATTGCAGCGAATGGTGATTCTGGGAGTCTATATTTCAATTTGCATGACCACTCAGACCAAACTGGCTTCGCCAATGAAGTGGCAGTGCACATATCATCCTTGGCATTTTGTGCAATTAAGTGACCCAGCTGCAACCTTAAAAGATCTTAGAAGGGCACTAATCTTTTCATCAGGTCTGTTTAGCATTGGCGAACTGCTTGAACTCCATGGAAAGGATGCCATGGCTATAAATCACTTAGAGATTACAGTAAGGAAATCTAAGACAGATAAATACCATCAAGATCATCAGGTTTTGGTTGCAAAGATTGACGGGCCAGCGTGCCCATACGGTTTGTTTTCTTGTTATTTCATTCTAGCAGGCATGCTGGTGAAATCAGAAAAATACATATTTAGAGTTGTCAGTTCCTTAAAACATGACGCGTCGAGATTTGCAGTAAATGAACCTATCAGTTATTGAAGGTGCAAGAAAATTATACATACATACATACATACATACTTTATTGTGTTCCCTAAATAGGGATTTTCAACACTGATTTACAAAAAATAAATGTTGTTCTATTTACAAGTTTTAGAATCTAGAATTTAAATTAAGGTAAAAAGGTAAGACATTTGTATAAAGTTTAACAAGGTAAAATTATCTACTTATATATTTGTTCTAGCATGCTTCGCTTCAGTTCGTTTTTGAAAGTTTTTAGGGAGTCTAACTTTTTGTACTTTATGTCCAAATCATTCCAGAGTGTAACGCCTCTATAATGAAAGGACCTTTGGCCTGCAGAAGTTTTGTACAATGGTATTTGCAGTGAGTCATGGCTACGTGTATCTCGTTGATGAATGTCAGAACGTTTTGTGAATAAATCGCTCAAATAATGTGGACCAAGTTCATTGACACATTTGTACATCATAATAGCCTCTCTTAGTAGTAATTGTTCCTTTACTGGGAGCCAGTTAAGTTCGCGTAAGCCCGGCGAAATATGGTCGAACTTTCCAATATTTGTTATTATCCTGCATGCAAAATTTTGTACCAACTGTAGTTTCTTAATGTTGGTAGACGAAGTGTTTGACCAAACCGTTGAACAATAGAACATTTTGTTCATTACAAGTGCCGAGACGATGAGAGTTAAAGCTTCTTTATCGAAACATTTTTTGACTCGGTTTATTTGGCACAGGGAATTCATACATGAGGAAACCAGGTTGGTGATGTGCTGGTCATATGTCAAATAAGAGTCGATTGTCATTCCTAGATCTTTGGCAAATGAGACGGGGGTAATAGTCTCGTTGAGGAAGTTTATGGTCATATCTACGGGAAGTTGTTGTAGGTTTTGCCGTGTGCCAATCAGCATGTATTTGGTCTTTCCCGGGTTAATAAGCAATTCATTTTCGGAACAACTGTTTGCAATCAAATACAAGTCTTCCTCAAGTTGTTGCTTTAAACAGTCCACATTAGCCACAGTGAAAGATAGTAATATCTTGGAGTCGTCCACGTACGATTCAAGTTTACTATGGTGGACTGATGAGGGCAAATCGTTAGTATAAATACTAAAAAGTAAAGGTGATAAAATTGCACCCTGTGGTACACCATAAGAAACAGGGAGAGGAGTAGACACAGTTGATCCAATTCTGACTGATTGAGTTCTTCCGGTCAAGTAACTCCAAAACCATTTTACAACGCTTGGAGAAGCCCCGACGTTGCTAAGTTTTGTAAGGAGAAAAGTATGATTTACACTGTCGAAAGCTTTAGATAGATCTATTAGAATCAGTGCAGTAACCAATTTCCCATCCATGGCCTTTAGGATAGTATCTCCGGTCAAAAGATTCAATGTTTCGCATGAGTGATGTTTCTTGTTCCCGCTCTGGTGGGTTGACAATTTTTTGTTCTTCATTAGATACGAACCAAATTGATTCAAGGCGACTTTTCACAAATTTTCGAAAGAAAGGTAAGGAGAGAAAGTGGGCGGTTATTTGATGCTTCCTCGTGGTTTCCATCCTTTAACAAAGGGATAACTTCTGCCTCTTTCCATGCTATAGGGAACGAAGATGACGACAGTGAGCAATTAATGATATCGGTGAGGGGCCCAAGAATTACCGGTAGGCTGTGTTTGATGACACGCATACTCACTTTGTCTTTGCCGGGTGATTTGTTTGACGGCATAGCTAATATGATGTTCCTTATTTCTGAACAAGAGACTGGGGTGAAACTAAATCTATCATTTTCTTCAGGGTAGCTGTTATCTGTGCGATTTACGTCAGAGAGATTCCGAGCTGGATAAACACTAGGATCTTGTATTAGTGTTGAGGCTTTCTTTGCTGCATTCACACCGATGGTGGAAAAGAAATGATTAAACTCTTCGGCCACTAATTTCGGTTCCTTACTGTAGACCACTGACTCTCTTTCCCTATACGCTATATTTTCTTTAATTACCTTCCAAAGTGACCCAGTATTGTTTCTGTGTTGTTGAACTTTCTTCAGTACATATTCTTTCTGTGCATTAACAAGTGCGGTTTTTGTAAAATTGCGGGCCTCTCTGAAATTAAGCCAATCATAATGATCACGTGTTTTCCTGAAAAGACTGTGAAGCTGGTCTCTTTTGATCATGGATGCTTTTATTTCCGGGGTGATAAATGGGCAAGATTTTCCGCGTACTTTTATGGTCTTTACTGGGGCGTGTTTATCCAATGTATTTAAAAATATTTCATTAAAAATGGTTAGTTTTTCATCAACATTGTCCATTCTGAAAATGGAAACAAGACGATCACAGTTGGATGCCAGATCGATCGCGAACAAATCAGGGTCGTATTTATTGTAGCTGCGGGTAGTGATATAGTTTGGTGGAGATTTGTCGGTTTTAAGTTTTAGTGATACATACACAGGGAAATGATCGCTGATGCAGGTTTCTATGACGCCGCTGTTGACTACTAGTCTTGGCGAGGATACGAAAATAACGTCGACGAGGGTCTGACTGGATTCAGTAATTCTTGTTGGTGATTTTATTAACTGGTTAAGGTTAAGTTCTTTTGTCGTCTTGATCAAAGACGCTGATCCAGGTGTGGGCTTAAGCATATCGCAGTTTAGGTCTCCAAGAAGAATTATCAACTTTCCCATCGTCAGAGCATGAACATAATTAGGTTTAAAATATTTTTCGAAGCAGTCAAGCGGGCTGTCTGGGGGTCGATAAGAGACACAGACCAACAGTGATTTAGATTTTTTGTGCTGTAATTTGATCCATAATTGATGGAAATTCGTCTCGGAGATATAACTGAGGTCTTTAAGTACAAGAGATTTAATATATTTTCGTATGTAAGCACATACCCCGCCCCCTTTCTTGTGCAGTCGGTCTAAACGATGTAGCTTATAACCTTCGATTTCTATTTCCTTGTTTGTGACGGAGGTATTTAACCATGTCTCTGATACTGTAAGGACGTCAATTTTGTTAAATTTGGTAAACTTACGTAATTCTAAAAAATGGGCGTTATTTTTCAGAGAGCGGATGTTTAGGTGGACCAGTTTGAGACCTGGAAGGGTACTGAGGCTGTTATCTGACTTTTTTGTTAAATGGGCTGAGGACGTATCATTAGTGGTTTTCGACGTGAGTGACCACGAGAGTGCGGAAGCGTTTGGAGAGGCAGGGTTGGACAAAGGAACACGAACAAGATTTCTATTTTGCAAGTTATTGTTAACACTAGAAGAATTATTAATGGTTAGTTGATATGATAGTCTCTGACGTGGTGGTCTCATTTGCTCTTGGGAAGCGAAATACCTGGTATGGGCTGGTCACGTGACCCGCGGTTTTGCGTAAAATGGCGTATTGTTTACTAGGGTCGGGGGAGTGAGTATATATTGTGACAATTAATTAGATCGCTCTATGAATATAAACAATAACCATTGAATCTTCAAAGAAATCGTGATTATTCGTGAAAAGAACTGCAATTAAAAATTAATATTTATCGTGGTGTGACTTTCTACTCTACAATCTAGTGTCGAGTTACAATTCAAGCAAATTGGATCAGATTTCAACTTATAGACTTGTCACTGAGAAAGCACGCGTGGACGGCGTGGCAATATAATAAAGCAGTACAAGAAAATATATATATCTAGACCGAACAATGTGGTTATTCATTTATTTAATTGTTATGAAAGTATATCTAGATACTCGAACCAAAAGAATTTATTTATTGATGAGATGTGGCATGGAATTGCAACGAAATAGCGAGATCTTTTGATTTCCGAAATATCGCCAAGACGCCAACTGTACCAGATTGTTGACTATAAAAGCTTATAAAACTTCCTGCATTGGCCCTTGGCATTGCTGAAACTCAACAATCATGGTATATGTTAAAGTCTAGCTGTCTGTTGAAAATCTACAGTATTAAAATCATACATCAAAGATAAGTCAAACGACAATATACTATATTATGTCTTTCAATGGGCACTTTATAGGCCGGTTTACACGACCAGTGTTTTGGGCACGGCACCCCTAAAAATGGGCACCCGTGCCCAAAATTTTAGGCACGGCACCTCTGCCTTTTGGTGTGTAAACGTGACAAAATCGGCACCGGTGCCGCAAAATTTAAACGTGCCGAGACTTTCTCACGAGGTAAGGCCGGTTTACACGACAAGCGTTTTGGGCACGGCACCCCTGAAAATGGGCACCCGTGCCCAAAATTTTAGGCACGGCACCTCTGCCTTTTGGCGTGTAAACGTGACAAAAGTCGGCACCGGTGCCGCAAAATTTAAACGTGCCGAGACTTTCTCACGAGGTAGTCTCGGCACCTCTAGCAAGGGGTGCCGTGCCCAAATTTCGAAAAAATACAAAATGTGTTCGACATTGAGCATGCGCAAAACAAATTGTCCTCCCGCCAACATGGCAGCAAGCGGCGAACGTGCCAAAAATATTGAAAAACAAAGTGAAAAAACAAGTATAAGTAATACAAAAATACGTAAAAATCGAGGTGTTGTATGGCAAGACGATGCAACAAACTTTTTAATTGACGTTTGGGGCGAGGAAGTTATACAACTGCAGTTGGAAAACTGCAAGACGTCAAAACAAACGTCAAAAATTTACGAAACAATACTGGTAAGTCATTTAAATATATTTAAATAATACTGTATTAAAGACGGAATTTGCGAAATATTTACAAAGTTATTTCATCGCTTGTATTTTTATACTAATCGGCCAACGGCAATTCGGCAATTTGAAAACTGAATCTTTCCTTTTTTAGATTCAACTGCAAAAAAATGGCCATTGTGAAGGCTTTACATCCCGGGATGTTGTCAACAAAGTTAAGAAGTTAAGACAAAAGTATAAAGTAGAGAAAGACAAAAAACGAAGATCTGGAAGCGGTAAAGGGAAAGAATGGAAATTTTTTTCTAAATTGGACGCATTCTTGTCCACTAAGCCAAATGTTGAACCGTTGCTCGTGGTTGACACCATGGCAGAAAGTAGCACGAATGACGAAACTACTCGGCCTGAGGAAACAGACGATCCGGTCGAAGGTGGGTAAAATGCTTTCCCCTCTATGAAAAAGGGTTATCATATAAGTCTTTATGTAGGGGATTAATTTATTTCTGATTTTTAATACTTCTGTCATTATCATTTGGCAGATATGATAAAAAAGTATGGCGAAAGTCAATCACATGTCCAGAAATGTAACACGTGCGAGTATGAGCAAGTCATCAATTGACCATTTGCGTAATAGACTAAATTTTGAACTAAACAAGTCTAGACAAAAATTTCATCACAGCTTGAAGGAGCATCACAAAATTAGTAATATTTCAAAGTTTCGTTGCAAAATGTTGTAAAATGCGGAAAATATAGCCTTGCGAAATTTGCAATTTTCAGTCATTTTAGATTACAAACGGGAAATTGACAGCCCCAAACCCTTCGAGGCCGTCAATTTCCAGTTTGTAATCTAAAATGACTGAAAATTGCAAATTTCGCAAGGCTATATTTTCCGCATTTTACAACATTTTGCAACGAAACTTTGGAATATTACTAATTTTGTGATGCTCTTTCAAGCTGTAATGAAATTTTTGTTGAGATCAAAATTTAGTCTATTACGCAAATGGTCAATTCATCTGGAGTTCTAAACTTGGAATCAGGCTCTGTGAGGGTATATGCTGACGACGATGAATTCTCCTGTCCAAACTGTGAAAACACAGGCACAGCTGTTCCAAATTGTGAGAGCACAGCAGATTCGAATTATGGAAGTACAGCCGGTTTGGATGAAAGTAAATTGTGCATGCTTTTATATTATTTAACCCATTGAGTGGCAGCACTCTCTCCCTGACAAGTAAAATCGTCCGGTGTTAGACAGAGTAACATAATAAAGCATGCATTTGGGTGCATTGCCACTTAATAAAGGGTTAACACTATATAAATAATAGCTGGGGTTCGTACAAAGGAATATAAAGGATGTTGCAAAGTTTTGGAAGGCATTTCAAACTCTGGGAAATCTTTACGGATCATGGGATATATCAACTAGTCTCTTCCCATTAATTGTTGGTTCAAATAACTTCCCTCCTTATTATAGAGAATAGCTGTGAATAAATTTTAAGGCATTTATTCTAATTTAGATAATAAATCCAAAAATAACTTTTTTCATATAGCATTGCCATTGGACAGTGATGATGATGTGCCAGAAAATGTGCAACCATTTAGCACTGATTCTGCAGAGAACAAAAAAAGTGCCAGCTCTGTCAGTGCCAGTGGTATTAAAAAAAGGAAAAGGAGCAATATTGAGAAGTCTTTGGATGTTGTTTTCCAGAAATTCCAAGAAAATACTAAGGATGACTTTTCAAGGTAGAAAGCCAAAAAATGGCTGGCCAGGCAAAATTCCAGTGTGTTGATTTTGCAATTATGATGCAAAAATGTAAGATCAGCCCCGAAGTTTTTGTTGAATTTGTTTTTCTAATTCACCCGTGAAAATGACAAAATAAACATAATTTTCAATCACAACCCTGTTGTATGGGGGGGGGGGGGCAGTCAAATGCAAATAATAATAAATGAATAAATAGTTTTCATTTATAATCATTACTGTTATTTATTATTGGTCTAGATATTTATAGTAAATTAAAATTCAATCCATTTCATAAAATAATCTATAGATTACAGAAATGGGAGGAAGAGAAAATGAGAAAAGAACACAAATTTCGTATGGAAGAAATGGCACTGGAAAACCAGCGAAGGCGGGAAGATCGGGAGCATGAAATGAACCTGCTCCGGTTGTTGGTACATCCTCAAGGACCGTCACCATATCCTATCAATCCAATCTCGAATCCAATGCCACACAATTATCCAAATATCCATACACCTTTGCCTGCAAATACATTGTCAATGTCATCAACTAGTGGTAGCTATGACACTGGCAACACTGAGACAGACAGTATTGGGTCCATTGGCAAGAAAACATACTTTTCGTTGTAGATTTACTATGCCATACTAAAGGGATAAACACTTTTAGTAATTATTTTGTTGATGTGTTTTGGTTGATGCAATGTTATAGTGTTTTACTATTTTAAAAGGCATGTTTGCCTAGCCCATTATTTTGAGTACTAACAAATATTACAAAAAAATACTTTGTTGTTAAACCTGGCTTTAAACATAGATATATGGCTTTAAAGCTTAAAGATCATGTCAAGTCCATAATGTAAACAAATCCTTTGTTTACATATAAACTAGAGTACGTTTCAATTCAAAAAGCTTCGAAGGATGCAAAGTTTGGGCATTGTTTATCTTTGTCGGTCTGCCTTTGTTATGAGCAGAACTGATGCGCAGAACGGACTTGACGTGGTCTTTAACAGTTGACCACAGGTTTAATATAAAGGAACAATGCAATTGACAACAGTAGTATTCTATCTAAATAGCAGTTAAAATTGGCACCTGAATTCTTCAATATCTTGCTTGACATGCAGATGCAAATACTGTGTATTTTGATTATTTTCAAAATCAGCCATATTTATTTACATTAGAACCCAACCAAACAGTCACAACGCCCACTTTGATCATTAGAACCCAAGCAAACAATCACAACCCCACTTTGTTCCTGCTACGTGCGAACTAAAGCTTGGGTTCTAATGTATGTAAATATGGCGGATAATATGGATTTAGAAGCACTGTCAAGCAAGATATTGAATAATCCAGGTACTGTACACTCTATTTTAACTGCTATTTAGATAGAATACTACTGTTGTCAAAATTGAATTGGTCCTAAAACCCGTGAGTTGATATCTGTAGTTAAAATTGTTAAATTAATTTATACAAGAAGAATATTTGAGTTAAAGTTGAGTTTTAATATAAATTCTGTATTTCCGTTTAGAATAATGGATCAAAACAACAAATTCAGTTGTTATCCAAGTAAACATAGCATTTATTTCACTTGAAGTTATAAGCAATGTTTACAAAAAATGCAATTATGCAACTAAGAACAATATGTGTCAATTAGCTTAATGAATGTGTCATCTAGCTCAACTTAGTACTTGAGTACTTGAATACTCAATCATATAATACCATGCACGATTTAGGGTGGCTTTATTATGGCACTCAGTTGTAACACTGTTACAAGTGTTACACAGTGTTAAACCATGTTACATATTAATACATAGTGTTACATAGTGTTACACATTGTTACATAGTGTTACACAGTGCTACAGAGTGTTGACAGTGTTACATAGTATTACACACACTAACCCTAACCCACCGTGTTACACACACTAACCCTAACCCACCGTATTACATAGTGTAACATGGTGTTACACACACTAACCCTACCCCTAAACCTAAATAAAGATAGCGTAACACTTGTAACACTGTACCCTGAGCATATACTTGATAATACACCCTAAATCATGCATCATATGCTCAACGCAATCAGTTTCTGGTATGATATAATTACATTCAATACAATTTACTAATCTATAAATAACATAGTTTAAAGGACAATGGCAAAAAAATTCCATTTTGTCTTTTCTATTGGAAAAGTATAATTTAATTTTGTCTTACAGTCGATTTCACAAAACTTTTGCCAAAATGTTCCAAACTTCGTTCCGAAGTTCACAAAATTTGTTTCGAAGTTCACAAGTTCAACATTCAAATTCACAAGCCGGTTTGTAAACAAGACCTCCGATTGGTCCATGAATTGAAAGAAGCCAATCAAATACTTAGTTTGCAAACCAGTTTGTGAACTTATGAACTTGCAAACTTCAAACTTTGGAACTTCGAAATGAACTTGCAAACTTTGAAACAAAGTTCAGAACATTTTGGCAAAAGTTATGTGAAATCGACTGTAATTGATGTAATCTTGTCAGCCGAACTATTTCAAGAATTAGGCAAGATATCGTGTCACAAAATGTGCAACAAGCCGCAATTTATATGCTAGTCAGCAGTACTTTTAAGGTTGTTGTCCCATAAAAAATTCTGTCAAAGCTGCCCGAGTGTCCTCAGCATCAGTAGCCACAATGTCATTGTGCCTACATATGGGTTCATCCAGAGGTAAATTTGCCTCTTCCCATTCAGGAAGGAAGTTATTGTTCTGCATTTCACATAAATTGTGTAGGATGCAAGAAGCCTTTGTGACTGGAACAACTGATGTAACACACATGTCAACACGTTTCAAAAACCTGGCAAATCTACCTTTCCATCTTCCAAATGTATTCTCTACAGTCATTCTGGCACGACTGAGAGAATAGTTGAAGACACGCTCAGCAGGGGGAGAGTTAGAACTTACTTGATACGGTTTCATAAGCCATGGTAGTAATGGATATGCTGGGTCACCAATGATAAAAGGTGATACATTCTCGCCTTGTATTTGTTTTGCGGGTATCTCGGGAAAAAGCTGATCATTGTTGCCCTTCTGGTAGATTGATGAGTTGGACAATACTCGTGCATCATGAACACTCCCTGGCCAGCCTATGACGACATCTCTAAATATATAATTTGAATCCACCACTGCTTGCATTATAATGCTGTGGTATCCTTTACGATTTACGTAAGCCAAATGACTTTCTTCAGGAGCAAGGATTGGAATATGAGTTCCATCAATGGCACCAGCACACATAGGCATTCCCCACTTTTTATCGTAATTATTTATTACTTGCACAAGTTCTTCTCCCTGTGGAAATTTTATAACTCTTGACAACCGTTGGTTGATTGCCTCACAAACGTCTTTGATGCAAATACAGACAAAAGACGTCGAAACACCAAAGAGATGTGCAATTGTCCTGTATTCTGCCGTTGAAGCCAGGTAGTAAAGGGTTAGTGCAAGTCGACGTTCAGCAGGTATAGATTTTCTCATTGTTGTATCTTTTCTAGATATCTCTTGACGTATTTCTTCTAATATGAATGTGAATGTTGCTCTAGTTACTCTGAAATTTTGGTACCACTGTTCGTCGTCGAATAGAGCAGTAACTACCTCGTACCAAATAGCCGTCCTTCGATGTGTCCATATCTCTCGCATTCGTGGCGGATGAATACACGACAACACAACATTTACTCGAAACAACAACTCCTGTCGTCTCTTAACGTACTTTTCTAGTATTGAAGTGGGTTTTTTCTCGGTTTTCGGCTGATATAATGATCGTCTTCGTTTCAATAAGTATAAATATGTAATTCTATTTCTGTCCGCCATCTTTAAAATACACCGTCGTAAATAGAAAGTAGAGGTGCCGTTTCTCGATGGGCACGGTGCCCATTATCAAAGTGTGTCTACAAAATAATTGTCGTGTAAACGAGTAAATAGCGAGATGGGAGTTTCGGCACGGTGCCCATTTTCAGGGGTGCCGTGCCCAAAACGCTTGTCGTGTAAACCGGCCTGTAGTCTCGGCACGTCTAGCAAGCGGTGCCGTGCCCAAATTTCGAAAAAAATAAAAAATGTTTTCGACATCGAGCATGCGCAAAACAAATTGTCCTCTTTCCAACATGGCAGCAAGCGGCGAAAAATTACAACTTGCCAAAAATTAAAAAAAAACAAAGTTAAAAAACAAATTTAACACCGGCAGAATGTGAATGTTGTTCTAGTTGACTCGGAAATTTTGATACCACTGTTCGTCGCTGAATAGAGCAGTAACTAGGTCGTAGCAAATAGCTGTCGTTCGATGCGTCCATACCTCTCGAATTCGTGGCGGGTGAATACAAGATGGCACAACATTTATGCGAGAAAACAACTGCTTTCGTCTTTAAGAGCCTGTTCATATGGGCAAAGGTTATCCCGGTTAACGAGAAAACTTTTCGACTAGCCAAATATACTTTTGTTCTGTTCACATGCATGGAGAAACGTTATTCCGCTTACCGGGTAAAGTTTCCGGCTGTGACATAGCACTGAATATCAATGGAATTGAAAAGTTACTGACACGACAGAAAGCTATCCTGGCAAGCGGGAACTAGAGTTGTGTTCATATGGGAAAAACATCACTTGACAAGCGAGATCTCGGTACGTACACGAGAAAACGTTTTGTCTTATATGAACGCAGTGTAAACTAACTTTTCATATTATTTTTATACCAAGGCGAGATCTCGCTTGTAAACTTTTCGAAAAGTTTTTTCACTAACCAGGATAACTTTTGCCCATATGAACTGGCCCTTAAAGTACGTTCCTAGTATTGAATTGGTTTTCCCCTTGATTTTCGACTCATATAATACTCTTCTTCGTTCCAATAAATATAAATATATAATTCTATTTCTATTTCTGGCCGGCATATTTATTCTTTAAAATATACCGTCGTAAACGGAAAATAGAGGTGCCGTTTTCCGATGGGCATGCACTGAATATCAATTGAATTGAAAAGATGCTGATACGACAGAAAGTTATCCCGCTAAGCGATAAACCGGTTGTGTTCATGCATATGGGAAAAACATTATCCCGGTCACCGAGATCTGGCTTGTCATGGCGAGATCTCAGTACACGGGAAAACTTCTTGTCTCATATGAACGCAATGTAACTTTTCATATTATTTTCATACCAAGGCAAGATCTCGTTTGTAGACTTATCGAAAAGTTTTGAAATTCTCGCTAACCGGGATAACTTTTGCCCATATGAGCTGGCCCTTAAAGTACTTTTCTAGTATTGAATTGGTTTTTCCCCTCGATTTTCGGCTCATATAATACTATTCTTCGTTCCAATAAATATAAATATATAATTCTATTTCTGTCCGACATATTTATTCTTAAAATATACCGTCGTAAACGGAAAGTAGAGGTGCCGTTTTCCGATGGGCACGGTGCCTATCATAAAAATGTGTTTACAAAATGTTGTCGTGTAAACGAGTAAATAGCGAAGTGGCGGTTTTGGCACGGTGCCCATTTTCAGGGGTGCCGTGCCCAAAACGCTTGTCGTGTAAACCGGCCTTATATTATAGTATTATAGTGTTTACAACATTTATAAATTTTATAAACAGCTTTCGTTTTGACACAACTCACACAAGTTTAAATTTTTTGCTTGATATATATTCTTAATAATACAAGTGAGATTTAAATATTTTTCTTTGTGGAATAGAATCCCGTTATTTTTTAATGGACAGCTTGTATCGTCTTTATCATATCCAGAATTGCTTGTAAATGCATATATCACTATGACACTATCAAATAAATATACAAATATATTTGAGAGCCTTGTTTTTTAGAGCATATTAATGACTAATGAACTAGAAATAAACAGATGATTCACAATGAAAACTTTAAAAATGTTAGTAGAAGTAGAAAACTCGAAAATTTATGTTTATTCGTATGACAGTCTGTGCGCGTCTGACACTGTAAATTCACAATATATAGATTTTAATAGTATATTAGGAAAATATTATGATTAATAAAGACCAAGAAAAAGGCTAAAGCCTGACTATAATCACCGAATACTACGTACTAAATCCAAAATTTTATAATCACTGACAGACCTTCTCTGTTTGGCTAGTATCAAATGTTTACATTTGCTAATATTGGGCTCTAGTCCCAGACAATACAATACAATACTGTTTCTTTCAATCTTATAAACAAGACGCGTAGACGTATAGTAACAAGTAATTAAATCGGTGCAAAGCATATAAACATTTACAAGAAAGGACAAATCTAATGGCGTATTTTAAAAACATTACATATGTAGAAATGATGACTGAAAAGCTCATAGTAAACGTTTGTTATAAAACCGCGCTCGAATGTGAAGAGACGGCATTGAATAACAACACGAGAGAGCACTGTGAGTAACGATTTGCTTGGTTTCTTGACTTGACTGTTGGTAAAAATGTAAGAATGTTCTTGTAAATTCAAAGCAAAGAAAATAAACAAAAATTAGCAAGTATTTTGAACTTAATAATGTTTTTAACTGTTAAACAAAATATCTCCACTGGAAATATCATGTAATTTGATACTTTTCCCACACACCCTCGGGCGTAGCCTGCGAACAGGCTCTCAAGTTGAATTGAGAGCCTGCATCGATGACTAATGAATTTGAATATCTGCCCCGTAACGTTCGTTTTTCCAAATATGGAATGTCTATCCTTATATGGTGTTGTTTACAACTTTCATGCAAACTAAATTTAGACCGTACAGTTTATACTGTTTTTCGAAATATATAAGATATTCAAGCAAAAGTTCAAATATTTTAAACACTGTTTTCTCAAAACAGAACATTTCGTGCTTTGAGATAAGACGGCCAAGACCAATTTGATCAGTTAATGTGTGTTTTATGCATAGTGCTTCAGCAGTTGACATATATAGAGCTCAGCGGAAACATATAAATTATAGCATCTGACCAATGAGAATTTCGCGTCACGATTTGAGACGCAGATATTCAAATTCATTAGTCATCGATGCAGGCTCTCAATTCAGCTTGAGAGCCTGTTCGCAGGCTACCTCGGGCGCTAAATTTTGGACGAGGCACGTAACCAGCCCATGCCAGGGTATTTCCCATCCTCGGTCCCAGGGCTTTATTTCCTAAATACCCTGGGAACGAGGTTGGTCTCTGACGTGAAGTGATTCTAACAGGTATTTTCATCATATTGTCTGCTGCTGACTCGTCAAACAGGCCACTGTGTGGAGATGGGCCAACCACTCTAGAGAGTGGTGGCGGTGGGCTGTCCGATACGAAGGAATGACACGACAACGTTTTAAAAAAGGATACCGGCTACAATGGTGCCTTCGAAACCCTAAGGGGTTTGTAACTTGACCGTGTCTAAGACTTGAGGGTCTCGGGGTTGGAAGATGAGGGAACGAAGAATGCTTTAGATTTGACTCGCTGATTGACCTATCCGATCGGGGATTCACCTGGTCAGGGTTAAGAGCATCAAGGCTTAACACGGTTTTTGCATAGGATCGGTCGCAATTCCTACATATGCCTTGCTTCCCACGTTGCTTGAAATGTTGACACCCATCGGATAAATCCTGCTCACGCTGATCTAATTCATTTTCGTCAAAAGTGAGGTTTGCAGAAACATCTTCGATTATACTTAGATCTTCGCATAAGGGCAAATAGTTTAAAACATTCTTAGCCTGAAAAGGCTCGCGGTTCAGGCTTAATGAGTAATCTTTTTTGAAGGAGTTGATTGTAGTCTTAGATTGTTGTGTGGATAATAGGGCATTGTTCTTTATTTCAAAGATAACTGTAGGGAAACTTTCCTCAGCGGGCAGGTTATCTACATTAACTGGGGTTGATAATGCACCAGATGGGTGATTTATTTTAGTTGATCCATCGCGTTGGGGATTTACATTGTCAGGACTGTTAAAGGACTTCTTATCTTGTAAAGATGGCTTTGAGGGACTTGAAAAGGTTATGGAAGCCGAGTCTTTAATCATCATTTTCTCCTCTAGGTCGGTAATGCGTGACTTTAAATTCAAATTCTCATGATTTTGTTCAGACACTTTAGTCAACAATTTTTCTATTTGCGATTCTATTTTTTCTTTAAATGTAAGGAGTTGTGCCTCGGCTATAGTCGGGATATCATCAGCTCGTTGTTGAAATGGTGTAGAAAAGCTGGCTGTCTGAGCAATATTCGGCGTGGCTGCGACATTCGCAATATAATATGCGCTATCAATGAAGTCCTCAAGTTCTTCGAGTGACAAAGTGTCAGCAATCGATTCAAACCCCATATCTTTGGCTTGAGTATTGTACGAACAATTGTGAGTTAAAGGGGCCATGTCCTCGAACACACGGCCATTACCAACGATATGTTCGCCTTCGACCGACATTTTTGTAGTTGTTTGAATTAAACTATCCGAGGTCGTATTTGTTTGCTTAATAACGCAATTTGTGTCTAATACGCTCACTAGAAATTCCTTGAAAGATTTGCCTTTCTTTCCATTGAAAGTCAA